AATTTACTGGATGTCATTCAGTGACGAGCCCCCCCCCCTCGGTCGCTTCGCTCACTCGCCATTATACTGATTATGCTCCCTCGTGTTACAATGTATATTTTTCTAGAAAACCCCTGTACACTGCATATTAAGCCGGTTCAGGTCAGTTAAAGACCGGTTTAGCTACATTTGTACATATATTCATGCAGACTCATCACATGCTATAGCACTTGCACAAGAGAGAAATTAAATTATCATCAACATATTCAATAACATGCTACATGTAGCTACATGCATGCTTTTTGGTTTTGGCTTTGACTGAAGTGTGGCCTGAATTTGAACAGTCATGTGCAAACTCAAGGAAATTACTGTTATGGGAAGTCAAGAATACAAACATGTAATATTATGTACATCATGAAAATCCTGTTACTGTCACTGGTAGATCTAGACACTTTTAGTATATGTTGTTGATTGCCATGTACAAAATGTATGATGATCTATAATTGATATTTTGTATGTTTGAGAAGTGCTGTTTGTTCCTTTAAATTGTTTCCTCTAGGCTGTGGAAAATGTGCCACACACAGCAGAACACAAGGTGAGGAAGTCATCAATTTTATAGTTTCAGCCAGTAAACTTGACCAGATCAATATTGTTAAACTGGCCAGATTATGACTTTGTAGGATGAGAACTATAGGCAGATGTATAATTTTCTATAATTTAAAAAGTACTTCTTGTAGTAATTGTTACTGTTCATTAAACTGTTACAATAGCTGTCACTCAAGATATACATGTAGGCTGAACAGAATAAAAGCCATTCTGTTAGTGAATTTGTAATTTACAATTTCACCATACATTAAATCAAATCTCTAACAGTATCTAATACATTCTAGCAGTATCAAAATTAGTTAAAAGTTAGAATAAAGTAATTTGTTTTGTTTTTTTCTGCCTTTCAACCTGAAATCATGATAGACTGTTAGGTGTACTTCATTGCTTTCAACCACTGATTTTTGGAGCGATTTCAAGCCCAAGGCCAAAATTGTCCACATGTTTGACTGACTACAAGCAGAGCACCAGACACAGCTATGGCATACATATCCTGGTTATGAAACCAACATGTACATTTCGTATTTTAGCTGTGGACTCTCTTGTCCTTTCCACAAAAAATATTTGCTTACTCAGAAAGGGCAAAAGAGACTCGGCAGCTACAAGGTAATATAACCAGGCCACCGCTATGATCTACCTGTACATGCTGGTGAAGCTACCATTCTTTTGCATTTAGCAACATGCTCCATGGCCTGGCTACTGTGTACATGTGGTTCTATAACTACATGTAGTCTCATGTACACATGTTCAGCAGTTTGCTAATACAAAGGTACAAAAGAATGGTACAACATCTACATGTAGCTCCACAGGCATGTACATGTACATACATGTAATTATGTACCATGTACATCATAGACCTGCATGCTGGCCTGCTGCAGTCAAATGTGTGGGTGTTGATTTGGGCTTGAAATTGCTCCAAATGGTGATGGGACTGACATGGCCAAATGATGGGCTTTGCCTTTTGGATCACCCTTTGTTCTAAGTCAGGTTGAAGGTTAATGCTAAATAGCTGAAAGCGGTACAATGTCATATGTATGATCTGATCTTTTCTAGGATGTGGATGTTCTTGTTCTAATGTTACTTCACTCCACTGCTGTGAGTAGACTCGTCGCAGAGCGGTGGAGGGGCTGTTCAGGACAAAAGTGCGCTCTGGGAAATTCACACATGACTTACTCAGGAAAACATTCACCAGTCATGCACACGTTAGTACAGAGTGATGTGTTTCCATATGTTTCCATATATATAATTTATATGTTATTAGTTATTATTATTTAGATGGAGAGATATAGATAGATAGCGAAAATTTGTTCTATGGAACATTTGGAAGCCCAGGTCGTACTGCTCTTTATTACACACGGGCCAGAACACCCGTATCGAATGTGTGTGTGTGTGTGTGTGTGTGTGTGTGTGACCTTCAGTCCCAGCCCTCCCAAGGACGGGATTTCTCCTTCTTGCCTTCGTCCACCAGCCAATTTGACCCAATGCATGTCGATGTGATACCTCAAGTGATACCGTGTATTATTCTATAACATGTATGGTACATGTACATGTATGTATGGTACTTATTGCAATCTGTTGGATCTGCTTAGAGTCTATGTGGTCAGATTTGTGGATAATATTGTTATTAACTGTACACTGTACATACATGTTGCATCCAGATTCTGCGTGAATATTTCCAGTCTGTCTTGACCATTGCGGAGGTTCTCCTACGATCTCCAGAGCCTGCGGTTGAGTTGTTTGGTTGCCACATGTACCAGGAAGCCTTCAGTGCTTTTGATGTGTACTGCAGGCAGGTATGTGCAAGAAAAAAGTTAATATCCTTCCATGTGTAATTGTATTGAGTAAACCTTAAAATATCTGAGTGTGAATTTGTTCGTTTGTTTGAGTGTGTCTATTGGAATTTCTAGTAGACACACTCAAACAAACGAACATTTTTAGAAATTAAGATTACAATCATATTTGCTTTATGGAACATCAGTTGCCCAGTGGCAAAAGCTATAGGTACACATTTCAGGTTGCAGCATGTTGAAGGCCAATAAATAAATTGTCACTCCATAAGTGAAGTGGAGCATTGAGTCAAGATTTGACCCCTATGCAAGACTGGACTCTTCTGCAGCCTGTGTTATAAGGAACATGTAGCAAAACACATTTTTCACCCTACATTTGTACATGTATGTGGGCACCCAAAGTGAGAAGGTTAGACGCTGTAAAATTTTATTCTCGGCTTTCAGTCACATAACCCGACCTTAGCAACGGATGCTATCCGCCATGTTTGTGACCCTCAACCCCGCATCGCCTGTGCTTGATATACATGGTCCATTATTTTGTAGTAAAAAAAGTGGTTAACACAGTGCATTTTTTCAATGCATACCCATGTGATTACAGATGAAGGAAAGGACAAGGAAAAACTGACCAAAGAACGTTGCAGATTGTGGATTTTTTGCGATTAGCCGTGGGAATTTGGCCACAGAAATACATTCCAAGACTGAACGAGTTTTTGAGTTACCGCTTTGTCTCTGGGAAAGCTGCACCCGCCTGGGTCTGAAATAATGTTGCCTGGGTCCCTACTCTCAACCTCGGAAAGAAGGAGTACAGAAATTGGGACGAAAGAAAAACAACAGAAGGAGGCTAGAGCGAGGGCCAAAAGGGTAAGAGAACGCAACAAGCAGGCTGCCAAACAGAGCCATGTGCATGAACTTCAGTAGGTCAGAAATGTGCCTTTAAATGCAGAAATGGCACCCAGAACAATGACAGATCAACTAAACAGTAGTTTACACGGTGCAAATGAAATTATTTTGAAACATGTGGCACTGACTGAATTTGAGCCTTCGTGCTAAAAGAACTCATACTCTGACTTCACACAGCCCAACAAAATTACCGATCTTAGCACTAGAAATGCCATCTGATGAAGATTCTCCTGATCACAATATCCTAATATCCTCATGAGAATATTCTGGGTACAACCTACAAAATATGTGAAAATTTCATTCATCGTTAAAAAGGTTCATATCATCAGTCACATAAGAATTACAGCTAATAGAATATTCATCAATCAGTGACTGTTTTTGAACAGGTAGAAACACAAGCCTTAAATTTTTGATGTCAACTGAAGGTTGGGAGCTGCCCAAGTCCTGTTTACCTCTACTCCGCAGGGAGGCAGGGGGATACCAGAAGATCCGCACAAGTCTCGACCTAGTCTCGTGTTCTTGCGAGACTAGGTCACTCTGTGATCAAGATGTACAGTTGACATACCTTTCAAAAACATACCTTAAGTTTCTACCTTTCAAAACAGTCACTGATTGATGAATATTATACTAACTTCATCCATTTATTCATTAATTCAAAATAAGCTCAGGTTTGCCTGCTCATTTTCCTGTAAAATCCTTTATTTGTGGGGGTCATGTGAACTACAACCAATGCACAGTACATAACAGGATTCAGGCGCCAATCCACCCCGGCCAAACAAACATCTTAATCCAAATTATATATACGGTCTCAAACCTGATGCATTCCTCTATATTTTTCACCTTGCTGTCCTCTACGGAAGGATTTCTGCAGCTTTCTCAAATACTGTGCTGCACTATTTTTTTTGCAAAAAGTACTGTTGACTACGGGATTCGCCCATACACGTAAATACTGTTATGCGACTTTATAACAATCTCACTGACTTGATTTGATTAGCCTCCTGCCTGAGAACTTGTAGCACAATAGCCAGGAATAGCTGAAAGTTGTGCCGTCCATTCCCTTCCCCAAAGTCACCAATAGGAAGCCAGTATAGGATCGTATGATGGTAACATCTGATCATGGGCTCTAGCCAAGCGGACTGCATTGTGAGGACCAGAAATTTGATCAATCGTCCTTCAGAAAAAATCTGCATTTTTAAGAAAAATGGCGACCAACTGCACAACATTAGAGTTTCGGCACAATGTGGAGACAATGTGTAAGGACTTTGCCATTAATTTTACTCCTTATTGTGCACGAAGCTGTTTTGATATCACATCCATCAGAACCTGACTGAGTCTAAGTTAGGATTATTGCAAAGCCAAGGAAATGTCAATATTGTTGTTTTCTTACATCGCATAATCACACAAACAAATTGTGATGTCATGTGGCCCCCAAACCTTGTACTTGTTTCAGGAGGTGGTTGGCTCTCTGGTGACCCACATTGGGAGTGGAGTTACCAGCGAGGTTGACTCAGCCCTGGATGTGTTGTGCCAACTGGTGAGGGACATGCCGGCCGCCATGGCACCATTTTCTGTCTTCCTTAAGGTAAGCATAGCTTTTCAACAGTCAAGGTGGTTAAGGGTTGTTATTTTATTGCCTTCTTTAGAAGGGTATGTTTTCGGCTTGGGCTTGGTCTGTATGTAGGTCAACACCATAACCGGAGAACTAAACATTTGGGTGTACAGAAAAAATTGGGTGAGCAACATAAACAAGTGCTTCTCAAAAAGCCAGGCATTTTGGCGCCGTTTATATTTGTGAAAGATTTTCTCAAGTTTTCGAAGTAAAGGTTGTGGAAGTAATGTTACCCTTAATGTTTAATTTGGTATGTCACCAACAATTAACTTCCATTAAGACATGTCACAAGTTGTTATTGCTCAAGCACATTCAATGTTTTCATGACCTTAGGTCCTGTGCCTACAGGTACTTTAAGCAGCAAGTTCCCATCTTAACCGAATGGCAGCCGCTTCCTCAGCCTTATATCATGTATGTCTGGGATGGAAATACCACTACAAAACTGTTCTTTTTATGATATCACAGGGAGTTCTGGACTACCTGGACAACCTGTCAGTAGCACAGATCCGTAAGCTGTTCTCCATGCTGGGGACCCTGGCAGTCTCTGGCACCCAGGACAGGGCACACATCCAGGATGACATGCACATTCTCATCAGAAAACAACTGTCCAATACAACCCACAAGTAAGCTGGGCAAGATTTCACTAAATCTAAACCTGCTTCATATATTCTACATGTTATATACATGTACATGTACACTGTAGTACCGGTATGGTACAGAACTGATGTATCGGTACTATGTGTAACTACATTTATATCATACCCGGGCCGCGATAACGTTCGATAACGGGTTCCGGACCAACGGTTCAAACGCGTTTCTCCCTAACCACGTGTGCCCCTTTCGAAAATTCGAATACAGAATCTGGCGAAACTGGACTACACAGCCAAAATAAATGGATTAAAGTCGTGTCAATCGCGGCTATCGAAACGATACCGATCAAAAATGTAGGGAAGGCTTGTCGGAAGATTTTGAAAATTAATTTTCGCCGTACAACGCAGTGGTGTGCGTGTGTCGGCAAAGGTGACCCGCTGGTCCCGCCTCGCAACTCGCTCAAACTTCTCGGCGTGGATGTCGGATGTCGATGGATTAATATGGTATTTTTTTTAAACCAAGGACTATTTTAACATTTATATCTATGTCCCTCCAAAGTTAATTGAAAACAACACGTAACTTGGCAATATTGTTTCCCTGTTTGTAATAAAATTGACGCGGAAGAAGTTCGTGGACGAAAAGGTAGGCTAGATTTATTTCGATTACACTGACTGACCGTAACGTTACTGACTTTAATAGCTTGATTTACCAGCGAAATTTGTGCTGACAAATTTGCCCCTAAACATGCAAAACATGGGTTGAAATTCAAAATTTTTCCGGGGTTTTTTTTCTTAAATTTTTTTCTGGCCTGTCGCCTAATGCAAGACCCAACAAATCAAATTGGTGTGGCCTAACTATCGAAAGTGTAAGCATACCTCCTAATAGATTTCAAAACCTAGGCATTTTAGTTGGGTTGAACGATCATTTTGTTTGCCTCAGTCTCGCATCAGTATTGTGCTCGAGCTATAAATCGATCGGATTAAGCCTTGTATAGAGTATATAATAACATACATGTAAGCTTTAAATTTGTAAAAAGAGTCTTTGTTAACCTTTGATATGTAATGAAGGGGGTCAGAGTATTGTGCGAATCAAGCATGGGGGCCGAGCGGCTTCAGTGACCATTGTCCGATTTGTCAAGGCGAAAAACGGTCTAGAATTGTAGTAATAATCAATTAATAGGATGTGAGCTGCTACCCTGGTAATTTCATGCGACCTGATAATGAGCTCTGCGACCTTAAAAATCACTGACAATAAGTCGCAAATGTTAAGAAAAGTTAGTACTAACAGAGGGCATCAGCTGACTTTTAAAGATTGCCAGTGATTCCTAAAATTCACACGGTGATCAACAAAACACCTGCGGCAAATGTCATTTACAGCTTGCAGACTTGTCGGACGATCAATTTTGCACAATGTGATAGGCTTATAACTTAGGATGCAGACTGTTTCAAGAAGTAACCATACACTGTAATGCTCTATTTCATGTTGTGTTTTGCAGATACAAGAGAATGGGGGTGATTGGGGCTATCATGATGGTACGAAGCCTGGGGGCCAAAAGGTAACTACAGTTTACTACACAGGCATTGTACGTGTACATTGATAGTACATATTTTATTTCAATTCATTACTCCATGAAGGAGGTCATGACCTCCGGATGGAGTATTGTGGGCAGTCGTTTTTTCATGTTCGCAGCTAGATCACATGGTTCCCTTTGTTTAATCGGCATGTAATTTATACGACGTCTGCAGGCATGCCCTTGGTGATGCACGTATTTTTATTTTTACCGTAGCTGTTTTCGTGGTCAATGTAATATTTCAAAAGCACCTCTAAATAATAGAGGCACATGGGAACCGGTCGCAAAAACCCCGTTGTTTTGAATAGCGGGGGGTTCTTTCAGGCAGAAACAGATTTTGGTTGTTGATTAAAAGCAAATGCTGCTGCTTCATCAACTGTAAAATGGTGAGCAGTTCTCCAATGTGTTCGCAGTGAAAAGTCATTGTTGTCTTGTGGCTTGTGGTGTGTCATTATGTCCATGATGATGCATGTTCTTTTCCTTTCAACGTAGCAGGTTTTGTATTGAGGTAAATTCGTATTTCCGAAACACCCCTATTTCTGTAATCCTGTGGAATAGTCCCTAGCTTAAGTGGCTGAGTGGTAGGCGTGATTCTGAAAGCAGATATTAGGTGGTTGTTGTGTATAATCGTTTGCGAGTATTCTGTTTGGATTGTGACTTCTTGTGACTGTGACTGGATTGCACCTACCACGATACTTTATCAAATGAATTATATGTACATTGTAAATGAAAAATATAGTTATGAAATATGACTTTGTTCATCTGTTTAGATTGTCGTGTTGTTGATCATATGTATTTGCAAAATATAAAACTTCACGGAGAATTGTCGCCTATGGACACTTGTTTGGATTGGAATGGATTGAGTAACAGAAAAATGCTACAATCACATGTTACAATCACAAATCATGTTACACATTATGGTATTGTACGACAAATACTTTTACAACCTTCCAAACAAACACAATGCAATGCATATGTACAATCCAAGAAGCAGCACAATAGATTTAACAATACATAATCATGTACTAGTTAGCTTCTGTCAATCAGTTCTGGTACATGTGATATATAGCTGCCAGGGTGAGTGTGTTGTTGTGTGTTGAGGTACACTGTAGCCCATTATTTTAACTTTTGCAAACTTTGTTCTCCCATTTCTTTTTTTCTCTCTGTCTCTGTAATTGTTCCCCTTCTAAGGTTATTCCTATGATAAAAAAGATAAATTTAGTACTGTACATTGTAACCAAGATTGTGTTAGAGAACTAAAGATTGTGTTAGAGAACAAATTCAAGTCAAGTATATTTGTACTTGAATTGTGTATGATGAGAGAAAGTGGTATTTTGGCTAACTGCTTTGTACAGTAACTCCTTTTCATATTTAAAACTTTCTTGTAACAGTTATAAGGTAACCATGTAAATTTTCACTATTGATGTATTTCATTAATTCTGTAACTGTTGTGAAAGTGACAATAATGGACTTTTGGGTCAACTGTGTAGTAACTTTTGTACTACATTTGATTTTTACTACAGAGAGGAGCGAGCCCCTTCCATCAGTAAGGATGTCTTTGACCAGGTCAGTACAATTTGTATCACTTTGACTGGGAGGCATATTTCTGCATCATGGTGTTTATTCAGCTCAAGATAACTGTGCTTTATGCAGGTCAATGTAGTCCCAACTTTCATGACAATTCATCCATACAGTGTGTAGCTTCTTTAGGTATGCTGTTCACAGACAGACAAACAGGCAAACAGACGGAAAAACGCTATTGAAAGCCATTCCATATGAATGGGCTTTTAAGTACACAATTACTTTTTCAAAGGGATTTACAGAATGATTATACATACACTGTACATGTAGAAGATGTACAATTTTTTAAATCATCTATTTCATACTGGTTTGTATACTGCCAACCTGCATTGTTTTGTTCCTGATGCTGCAGCCATGTTTACCAGTATCCATTGTATTACTGTACAAATATAGATTACAGGCCTTCTGGGGATGGTACGGACCAGTTGTCAGAACACGCCTGATGAGTATGCACTGTTCATGGACGAACTGGCCTGTGTCATGCAGAAAAGACAGCTTGATGAAGAAGTAGAGGTGAGTTACGGTATATTCGGAGATTACGTTTGTTCTGCAATTTGATGCTACAAATTGTAATGTACATATACATGTAGCTATTAGTAAAACTGAATGAGGAATAAAAGTCCTGTCGGGGGAAAGCTGTGGTTTGTTAAAGAAACTTGTTTGGATTGAGGAAAATGTAACCCCTTTTTAAATTGCTATACTTTAGTAAGGCATATGCTTCCTTAAGAATAGTTGCGTGTGATCAGTAGGGTGCTAAAATTATTTTGCAGCATGCATTGGCGGATCCAGAAATTTGTGAACAGGGGGCGCACCACCTGACATGGCCTCTCGTGCTGTCCCCCGGAGAGCTTCTCAATTTTAAGATTGAGAGGTTGTCTGTAGTGTCTGGTGTATTTTAGAGGGGGCCCAAAGTCAACTAACACAAACATAAACATCTATACCCCACCTATCCACCTGCCAAATATCATCGCATCCTGTCTGACAGGTCTTGAGATATACACCAAAACATCATCCAGACTGAAAACAAGACACACCATTTTCAATCAATGGAGTGTAATAAAGACTTGACCGTACATGAATATGTCGGCCCTGTACTACTGTAGTCCGCAATGCATGTCTGGGAAGAAATGGTTGTAACTGTAAGCTTCCTTCCTATTCTTCATTGTTAGTTTTTTCTGCAATTTTGTCTATGGCCAGCTGTTTTAATTTTTTTGGCCCAGTGTCCAGGTGCCGAAGTGTCCGGCATCCTAGTGATTATGCGAAACAAACAGTAAACAGTGAGTCAAAATTAAAGTTCAGATTACTGTAGGCTATAGAGCGTTCTTCTTTTTCCATGGCAGGTGTGGATCAGTGAAGATGTCCTGACAGACTTCCAGGACAACTATGTGGTGGACGTGGAGGCCGACAGAATGAGTCAAAGGTCAGACTAGGCTTCATTATGTTTTCTGTGTGTGGGGGGGGGGCACCTGGAGCAGTGTCATAGACATAATGATTGTACATTTACATTTAATATGCAGCCTTTGATTGTCAGAAAGGATTTAGTACTGTAGTGAGTGATGTTGCAGCTGTCACATAATTTGCTTGTAAGGAGATGGGATTGAGCCTAATTTAGACCACACTGACTTAGACCCTGTTCATACCAGACTTATATTTAGCGGTTTCAACCGGTTTTTCAAAAACCGGTTTTTATTTAACCTGGTGTGAACGCAAATTAACCGGTTTTTTAGGGGTTTAAATCCGATTTTGAAAAACCACCTCGGGAGGTGGTTTTTGAGGGGTTTTTGTGGTTTTTTTCCACCGAAAAACCTGGTCTGAACGCTAAGGGTTTATTGAACCAGTTTTTGCGTCATAATTCCGGGGTCACGGGGTCAGCATCCTGACCGTGTGCGACCTGCAAGCTTTTTGATCGCGTTGTTTTGACCAACTTGAGTTCGTTTCCACTGTTTTTCCATGGTTTCTCTTCATTTTGCGATGGAATCAGCATATGCAACCTGGTCGGCGGACGAGACGCTCCTGATACTTTAATAGGTTTGGAGAGCAGGAGTCGCCGAATTCGAAAAAGCTGGGGGGGGGGCGGCGAGGGCTCTACCGAAACAAAATGTTGGAGGAGGCTGATTTCTTGAAGATAAAGGATCAGTGCCGCAGTAAGGTAAAAAAAAAAACTGAAGACGGCATACAAGTAAGAAGGCCAAGGACAACAATCGGAAGAGCGGGAGGAATGGTTATTCAAACTGCAGTCATGGCCGATTAATTGGATATTCACCGGACAGGATTTTTTCAAAACCGGTTATCAAAAGTCTGGTATGAACGCTAAGGGTTTTAGCCGGGTTTTTGAAAAACCGGTTGAAACCGCTAAATGTAAGTCTGGTATGAACAGGGTCTTAATTTATGGATGACATCCTTTGGAAACCCCAAAACTAGTGCGAGAGTGTAAATAAGAAAGAAATCGTACCAGAAAAAATTCTGCTAAACCACAGGAATACAAAGCTGGTACGTGTAGTGTAAATTTGCAGTTACTGTAGTACATGCTGCTTTTGATTTTACGACACATTGATTAGTCAGCACTGTACTGAGTTCTGGTTCAAAAGCCTTGGTAGCTCAGATGCTGTCCTCTGTAGTTGCCGCCAGCTCCCTATTGTAGCTGGCTACCATATGGACTATGGAAATAGTTTTTGAGTTGTTTTCACACAGACGAAAATCAATGCGCATGCATAATCATAATATGAAACTAAATCAGTGTGGTCTTAGTGAGATCAGCTTGAATTGCAATACCCACTACATGTACATTTGTAGTTGTCACTTACTGGTATTTGTTCAAGTTCACTCACAAATAAAGTTGATAACAAATAAAGACCTGTGACTTGTTCAGAGTCACACTAGCCCATCAATAACAACAATCTCTCATAGTTCCACAACCCTCCCCCTGGATCTGTGCTATAACCTTGAGGACGTAGATGAACTTGAAGAGGGAAACATAGCTGTCAACCTGCTGCCACTGTTGGAAGCTGCAGAAGAGATGAAGGGTCTGTCTTCTAGGAAGGGCAAGAAAAGGTTAGGTTGTATTTAGTTCAGCCTGGGTGAAAAGTTTTCCTTGCACTGTACAATTTTGGACTTTGCTCAATCAAAATTTGTTATTGTTTCTGTCACATTGCTGTCTTGTTGGTGGTCATTTACACTGATCCTGCGCATGTGGGAGACGAAAGCTGTACCTGCAGACCTGAAGGACGCCACCATTATTACCATCTTCAAGAAGGGGGATCGCTCTGTCTGCGGAAATTACCGCGGCATATCCCTCCTTAGCATTGCCGGAAAAATCTTCGCACGGGTTCTGCTTGACAGACTCCTGACTGTTGCTGAGGAGGTCCTCCCAGAGTCACAGTGTGGATTTCGGCCATCTCGTGGCACCACCGACATGATTTTCTGTGCCCGCTTGCTTCAGGAGAAGTCCCGTGAACAACGTCGACCTCTCCTCTTCATCTTCTGGGACCTTGCGAAAGCATTTGATAGTGTCCCAAGACCAGCCATGTGGGCAACGCTGAGACGCTTCGGCTGCCCCGACCACTTTACGGACCTTGTACAGGCCCTCCACGATGGAATGACCGGCCGCGTCGTGGTCAAGAACAGCATCTCAGACCCCTTCCCCATTACCACTGGCCTGAAGCAGGGCTGTGTTCTGGCCCCACTCTCTTCTCACTTTACCTTGGGGCCATGATCCACGAGCTCCCTGACACGGCCTCTGGTATCCAACTGCGCTGCCGAATGGACGGCGGTCTCTTTAACACCGGACGCCTCCGCGCCCGCCGTCGTACCACACCGGTTACAGTACGGGAACTACAGTATGCAGATGACAACGCAACCCCCGCAGACACAGTCACTGGTCTCCAGACTACTGTGAATCTTTTTGAGGATGCCTATTCCCGCTTTGGCCTCACCTCAAACACTGGGAAGACCAAGATCCTTGCACAGGGTGTCCCAGGTCAGCCCCCTCCAGACACCAGCAACGTTCGTCTCCATGGTGAAGTCCTCGAGACCGTGGAAGCCTTCCAGTACCTAGGGAGTTACCTGTCTAGTGACTGCACTATGCAGAAAGACATAGACAACAGAATCTGTGCTGCACACGCTGCTTTCGGAAGGATAGCCAAACGTGTATTCCTAAACCACGACCTCAGCCTCCAGACCAAGATCATGGTGTTTCAGGCCATCGTTCTCTCCACCCTCCTATATGGCTCTGAACTGTGGGTTCTGTACAGGAGTGACATAAAAAGGCTGGAGCGCTTTCAACAGCAGAAGCTCCGTGCAATCCTGAAGATAAAATGGCAAGAACGTGTCTCAAATGAGTCTGTTCTTCTGCAAACAAACCTCCCCAGCATCGAGACGACTGTAGCCCGACATCGCCTCCGCTGGGCAGGGCATGTCAGAAGAATGCCGACCACTCGACTACCCCGCCAGATCCTGTTCTCTCAACTTGAATCCGGCACAAGACCGAGGGGCCGCCCCAAACGTCGGTTCCATGATCAGCTAAAGGCCACGCTCCTTTGCTGCGGCATTGATCATGACAACTGGGAGACCCTCGCCGAGGACCGAACTGCGTGGCGTAGCACCGTCGCACAGGGAACAACCTACATGGAAACCCAACGACGGATGACAGCAGAGGCAAAGAGACGGAAACGACAAGAGCGGCTTCTCCTCCCGCGACCGCCACCTACTCTGACTTGCGCAAAGTGCCCCCGACGTTTTTATACTTCACTAGGCCTGACCAGCCACCTAAGACATCGACACCCCCAGAACAGCTGAGGATGAGACGATCGACACGAACCCAGATGCTCGGACCCGAGCTGAGGCCAGACGACGAGACGACGGTTGGTGGTCGCATACTTTCTTGCCTGTCACCTCGTGCTGCAATGCAATGTCATCTGATGAGGTGCAGAACCACCAGAAAAATGCAGGCCCTTTTCTATTGACTTAAAGAAAGTACCAGACTCATCAATACAATACAATGTTTAAAATTCTTTTGGCATATGGTATACCCCATTAGTTGATTTGATTCAAATCATGCATGACAACACAACCACCACAGTTCTCATACCAGAAGGAAAAACTGACTTCTACAAGATGGAAACAGCGTGTTCTACAGGGCCACCTAGCTTCTCCTTTCATAACTGCTCGCCTCATGGTGGTAAACCTTGTAAATTCATTTTGTAAGTCGATTAGTCAATTGCACAATCAAATTCATAGTAATGTGATCAGGATTATGTTTTTATTTATTATTTGTTAGTTTTGGTTTCCATAAATTATTATTTACCAATTACCACCTTGTTTCACCTTCAGTTTACTGTATTTTGAGTCACCACTATAATTTATTCTCATTCTGACCTCCGACCTCTCCCACTCTGGTTTGAGTTGCATTATCAATTTGGTTAATCAAGAGATTTTTGTTTTAAATTTGTTTCATAGTTGACTATATTAACTGATTATTAATTTGATTTCAAACTTACCTTATGTTACTTAATTATGTTACTTTATTTAATGTCAGTGATCACTCTGATTCGAACTCAGCTTATGTTACTTAATTGTGTTGAATTCTGTACATTTCTGTTGTTATAATTTTGAATTTTATGTGGACTCCAGGAAGAATAGTGGTCAGTTGAACACTAATGGAGATCTAATAAAAACAAACAAACAAACTGCGCACTATGTAAGGCTGTAAACACCAACAACAGTCTGTGGAGAAGACAAAGCTAGTGTGCATGGGTTATTAATGCCCTATATACTGTAATTCACTTTATGTTCATGGTAGCAAAAATCTGAGAAAAATGGACATGTTCATATTCACGGAGGCAATAGACATGGTCTTTATTGATCATGGAGGCAGAAACATGAGTAAGCAGAATGTTTATTTAGATGTCAGGCTGAGGCAAAGAACCCATGCTTTCAAAAAATCTGTTTTCCATGCCCATACAATCTGTTTTCTTCCTTTTCCAGTGCTACATTTTCATCTTTGTGGTAGGAGTAACACATTTTTAGGAACAAAAATGTCATTGAGTTCTGAAGCTCTTTCTAAAGCTATGTCATTGAATTCTGAAGCAGCTTCTGAAGCTCTGAATCCTTTTTTTCTGGTACTGTACATGTCGGGTACTTTGTACTGTTACACAGCACTAAATAACTTTGGAGTCCAGTATACAACATTTACAGTGTTTTTGTCTTCTGTCATACATGTCAGGTACAATACCCACCTGCATAATGTACACATCACGCACAAAAAAAGCATTTCAAGCGCTGCATGCGTAAAGTTCTGTTTGGATTGAGAAGTTTTGTGTGCTTGTTTGTGTTGGCAGGACGGTGTCGCCAGCGTGCCTGGCCCCTCACTTCCGACTGTTACGCTGTTGTGAGCAGGCCCAGCGTGGGGGGGACCTGGAGGGGATAGATGCACTGCTGGGTAAGGCACTGCATGTTTGAGATAACATTTTTGCACAATTACATGATTGTATGCTTATAATACATTGTACATGTATGTGCTAAGTAACTACTTAAGTAAGTAAATGTTTATTATGTTGTCAATGGTTTACAATGTACATGTACATTCACAGCCTGAAATCTTATTTCTGTTCAGTATGCATAATCTGCTCCATATCTTAATATATGTTCATCGGCAATATACTTAATGGAGTGCACACCAGAGGAATGCAGATCTTTTTTTTTTCTATCATGTGCTAATGTAAACAATAGCCTGGGTTGTAACACTCCTGGCTAATTATTGGTTTACAGCAAGGTTGCAAAGTTCTAGCTACATGCAGAAGTCCTGGTGGTGGAAAGATTATAATGCAATACTGACATTATAATGCAATACTGACATCCTTACGTTTTTCAATGTTCCCTTGTACTGATCACCTATTTTCTGACATAGGATCAATATAATAGTTGGAACCTATAGGGGTGTTGGAACATACAGTACATGTATAGATGTGATGAGACATAAGGTGTAACAAATCAAAATGCATTGTCTCTGACTTGTTTTTCTATGAATCCCCCAGGATGCCCCTTGTACTTATTTAAGGAGGAGACGGTTGAAAAGATTGAGTCTCTGTCTGGGCATGAGAAGGAGCTGATGTGTACAGCGCTGTTTCACACACTCAACTGGTTCAGGGAGGTCAGTTTCACCACATCTGCTGATTGTGTAAAGGCTAGATATTTAATAAGTGCGTGGATTTTTGCCTTTGGCAGTCCTGAGGCTGCAAAAGGCTGTTGATTAGTCTGGAACATGTACATGAATGTTCCCTTTGTAAGATTATGAATTGAGCGTCATCATAGTAGTCCTTTTCTTGTAAAATTACTTTTTTTATCTTTCCACTCCGTCAATACTCTGCAAATATCCCGTAACCAAGATATCAAATTGCTATGTTTGAAAAATGCCTGACGTTGTGGTTTGACTCAGTCACACTGTGCTGTTCTTCCACTCTGTGTATCTCAGATCATCAATGGCTTCTCCAGCCAGAGTGACCCGGAGATGAGAGGCAAGGTTTTGGTTCGACTACAGAACATCACGCACGTCCAGGAGCTGCTGAGAACATGTCTGGCAGGTTGGTATGGGGACAGCTCTAAACATGTTCTATATACATGTACAAATGTATGTAACTGACAAAATTATGCTCAGTATATAGTAGGGCTGCGTACCGGTCCAGGTGGACCGGTACGGACTGGAAAAATAGTATCGGTCCGGTCCAAAAAAAACCGAAATGTCTGTGGACCGGTTTTTTGGACCGGAACAAAAAATCATACTTGATCACTACACACAAGGAGGCCTGCCAGGAAAATGAACATCCAACGTTAAAATAAAGAGATTTACCTTAGTTTCCGTCTCTCTCATTTCACAACAATATTTTTCCAGATTTTCGTTACTAGTGAGAAGTGAGATAGGAAACCTAGTTATAGCATCCATGGTTATATTTCATGTTCTTTGAAAGATACACGACAAATTGTCAACACTTTATTCATGTTTCTGTCATTATTGAAGAATTTCAGTAGAACATGTGACACACGTGAATTTTCAGGTACAGGTACAGGTCCGGACCTGTACCTAAACCTCTGTACCTGTACCTGTACCTGATGTTACAAAAAGCTACGCAGTCCTAGTATATAGGTTCAGTTGTCAGAGCATATACATACAATTATATACATGTAGTTAGGGTTGTGACAAGTTTATACAAATAACACAGCATACAAATGTACATTTCGTACATGACTGTACAGACATTCATACTTGTCTAAGATGACTGTCTAGATCTAGGGGACCGAGGAAAAGTTGTCCTCTTAGAGAAGTACAGTGAGAAACAGTGGTCAGCCCACACATGAGGAAAAACTGTGCTCCTTGGTCGTGGCAGCCTACCTTGATGTGGCCACCAATGTTAAACTGTGTTTATATGTGGTAGGAACACACCAACGTTGTATTCTTGCAAAAGTTCAGGGCTATTTTTTAGTTTTTTGAGAGTGTAATTCCTTTCTTATGATACTGTACTGTACTGCACAGTGCTTCTTTCTAGCTGCTTGAAATACATATCAATCAAGTCTCTTTTATTTTATCTACAAAGTACTGATTATGTTTCTATTACATGGTGAAACCAAGGAGCTTTCATCTGAAAAAGCTCCTTGGTCAAGCCAACATTTTATAGCTTTAACGATTTGGTTAAGATCCTTACCTTTTTATGAGTCTGATATAATTAGGATATAAGGTAAAGACGCTATTAACTTGAGGAATCTTCTTTGATGAAAACATTGAAGGGCAGAAGCAAGAATGTTTGGAGTTAGATGTTCAAGTCGTTCATTGTAATGTAGCCAGCTGCTGCCACGCCGGGTGCCTGCAAAGCCGGTGTGTTATGCCGAAGGACAGTTATACCGGCTATACAGATACAGAATCAGATACAGATAGCTGGCTTATAGAGCTGGTGGCTTGGGCAAGTTTGACTGTATATCTAATTTTTTTTCTAGTGGTTTGTTCTTGTTATTAATCATGATATGTTCATTTCATTTCATTTATTGGTGATGCCAACAACGCATTACAAGTGGGAGCCAGGCAGCCAGAAGGCTGGTGGCGGCTGCCACTGGTACATACAACACAACACAGTCAATACACAAGTCAATACAATATACTGGACCTAACAAGTTACGAGTATCAAAATAGCAAAACAAAACAATACATTATACAATATCCAAGACACATCATCATCAAATTAATATAGTAATCATAATAATATCTATAGTCAAAAGTGGAAGGGAAAGATGGAACGGTTGGAAAGTCAGAAAAGTTAAAAAGTTGTTCAAAAGTTAGTAATCTGATGAGAGGTGGTTCCTGAATTTGGCCTTGAAAATTCTAACTGTGGCGGACCCTGTGACTTCACTGGGTAGACGGTCCACAGACGTGCAGTGTACAGGAAGAAACTGTTTTTGTAGGTGTTTGTTCTACTCCGGGGGATGTACAGGTGGTGGGCATTCCGCAGTCGTAGCTGGGATTGACTATTTGCAACTCTTGTAGTGGGCACAAGTGGCTGGAGATGGGCTGGGACGGGACCATTTACCAGCTTATACATGGTGACTAGTCGATGGTAGTCCCTCCTGGTCGCCAGACTATCCCACCCGAGCTTTTGCAAAACCTCTAGGTAAGGTGTGCGGACTGCAGCACCTGTGACAAGGCGCCCTGCGTGGTACTGCACTCGTTCCAGGGTCTTAGATGCGGCAGCAGTAATGTTGGTGAGAAGAATAGAAGCGTATTCCAGCTTAGGGCGAATAAGCATGAAATAAGCTCGTTCCAGGGCTTCTTGGGAGAGCTTGCCACGGAGCTTCCAACATTTTTTAACACGTTTGCTAACACTTGTGCATGCCTGCGACATTTGCAGCCACACCAGGGTTTGTCCCACCCCAGGCCATATTTGACTGTGAGATGGAGTCTGTACCAGTCCCTGGGGTTGCCAGAAAGGGAAGGAAAAAGGCATCAAAAGGGTGAGTTCATAGAGAAGTACTATTGCCTTGCAGTTTATTCATCAGACATCCACCATCTTTTTTTCAAGTGAACTTATCAAGTTGAAATATGGGTGTTAGGCCACCCAGTTTTTGTTGAAATAGCTGTTGCTTTATTTATATACTTAGGTAACTGAACGCACTCACAGTACACTGTGCACTCCATACAATATGGGTGTTACAAGATTACCAAGAATGGAACAGTGAACACAATGAACTTGGTCCATTGAAGGATTCCAGAGAATTCTCCGTACAATATATAAACCATATAACACACACTGGATACTTGGTCCACTGAATCATACTGCACACTGAGTACGCGGCCGCTTCAGCTGTTACTTCTGAATCAATGTACTGGTTAGGAGATAGATAGCGCAAAGGCCAATGGGAGTAGAATAGGTTTACAGTTATTTATTTGAACGTGTTCACAAACCCGCTGCTCGAATTGATAGAGTTCGAGCCACAAGCATGGGGCCTACCGATATAACTTCAAAAAGATGACATGGTAGGAAATACCTATCCCCGAACAGCGTTACCAACTAGGGTGGCAGCTGCGGAAGTGATTCGGTTGCACTTCCCCAGACTAAGAAGACAACGATATCGCACATTTAGAAATACATGTATTGGGCACAACTACTTTTTCCAGGACTTCGTACCTGGGAGACATAGAACTTAAACATGTCCGTGGGGTTTGTTTATGTGTTTACAGTAGCCTGGCAGTGCATATACACATAGTGTATACAGCTAAAATACAGCAACACATATAACACAGCTAAAACAAACAAAAAATGTTTTCAACCAGCATAGCAGGATTTCCAGTTGATTTTTTTAAATTTGAATTTGATAGAAAATGGCTTTGCTCATAATGTCCTTGGCACAATGAACATCTCAGAGAATGCAGTTACAAGTACCATCAAAGAAGTGATTCACAACCTGCTGTGATTTAATTAATCAAACCCCACAAATTGGCGGCGATAAATGGGCGTGACATTCAGGCCATCTGTGGTGGGTCGCTAAGTACAAGCTCAGTACTCAGAAACAAACATCAGTACCTAGCCTTTGAGATTACACCTAGAATTCTAGCAGAAATACCCAAATTTTGTAAGGTAAACAAGGACAAAACTTGGAACTGCCGACCTCAACACCCTCCCCCACTCATGCATGCGTACGCCATGTTCTTGATAGATGGGCGTAAATAAAGCTCTAATCCCAGAGACCAGTGCCAATTAGAATTACTAGTATATTGTTACTCCAATCAGCAGTAGGTTTTTCAAATTTAGTAGTGATTTCAAATATAGTTGCACCTTCAATTTGTATATATCATAGAGTGGAAAATCGTTGCCAGCGCTACAGCGCTTAGCCTTAAGCGACATCAACACTAGATAAGTTTAGTCCTGCAGTTACATGTGCAAAAATTTGGTTGTATACGTAACAGGTTGTCTGGGGTAACGTAGCTCGCTGCGCTGCGTGCCGCGAAGCTGGTATGTTATGTTGAAGGGCAGTTATACCAGCTGTACTGATACAGATATACAGTACAGATTATAGTTTTAGGTCTCTGATATAGGAAATAAAAGTCAACTGACAGAACTGACATGTTTTTGTTGTGTTTTCTACTGGCATGCTGTCAATTAAAATGTTTTTGTTAACATGAGTTGATTTTCTGCAGCAAATGTGGTGTTTATTCTTTGTAGGGGTAAAAAGTTGCCTGTGGGAGAGAAGTCACCCGACCCAAACGACACCATTTCAACTCAAGATGGGACACAGGCAGATAAGGTGACAAGCTGACTGTTGGTGCAGCCCGTAAACTTTGAGAAGAGGTTTTAGAAAACTAATTCCCAAGAAACATAGATTACTATCATGAAAGTTCATCTGTGTTGGTAGTTACATGTTTAAAGTTAAAACGTTTGGTCCAACTACTGAGGAAGACCAGAGTGACTGGTTGAAAGATCTAGGTGAGAGAATTTTTTGTGTTGGACCAAAAACAAACATAGATCACATATTATTAAGCCAAGCACCATTCCTATTCCTTCGTAGGCACAATGACATACAGTAAGCATGTCAAATCATGATCACTGAGTTACAAAATGTAGAGGAAGCTGTGCATTTTTAACTGATCAGCCAATAACGCACTCTTGCAAAACCAGGCAGAGGTGGGAAGATGGGGGTCAGCCAAATCGGCTCATACTTTGTATGTGAGATAGGTATGGGGAACTATGAACAGCCATATAGTTAAAACCCTCCAGGTATTTTTCGTTATGGAGTTCTGGGACCCCCCTCTGAGACCCTCAAAAATCTAACGATTTATGGCTGAAAATTACTGAAATTACAATGGACACCATGGTATTTCTAATAATGATATGAACACGGGGTTTCTTTTGTCACATAGCATGGGTCTTCTACTTTTACAAAACAAAAATTGAAGATGCAACATTGAAGTTAAAAGGGTATGCCAGGGGGTTACCAGAACCAATGAAATCAGAATTTTCATCTTTCTAAATTTTAGTCATTTTTAAGTAGCTTTTTCTCCGTCACGCGGCAATTTTGATAAACGGTTTTACCGTTGCTGGAAAGAGGAACATCTACTGATTCAAAAACAAGTGTCGTTTAATTGGGCCACGCATAACGCGGGTCGTGAATGAAGGGTCTTAATGGGGGTTTTCCGGGTTTTGGACCATAATAAATTAGGTAACAACGTCTCTTTCAAGGATACTTAAAAAGCAAATTAAACTGATTTTACACAATTTATCACATTTTATTTCTAATTTCCATTAGTAACTACCTTTCAAAATTAATTTTGTGCATTCACTTTGTGCTGAATAATATGGAGGTTATTAGAAAACCATGTGTGAAACTAGCTAATTACTCAGGCCATTTAGGAACGCTGTATAAGTCAGCAGTAGGTTGGAAGATAGGAAGGTCTTTGAAGTCCACTTATACTCAAGAGGGGCTTTCTTCCCACAGTGGCTTTCTGTACAGTGAACAGTTTAGTAGCATTTTCTATTTAGAACGTCCTTTCAGCTTGTACAATTTGCTATTTAAGAAATTATCATGAAATGAAAGGCGCTTATATCGTAAATGCCTTTAGACAATATGACACCAAGGTGATTACCAAAGGCTGTAAAATAATAGCACAGAAAGTATTATATTACATTCAATGTAGTCTGGAAGTTGGTTTTAATCATATATGTTATGATTGAGAATTTTAGTTTGTACGGCGTTCCAAAAATTTTTGGAGACGCTCCTGCAAGCTTCACAATCGTGGCAATCGCCCGCCTCGGGCATCTCTTTTTGCAAAGCTTATCTTTGCAAAAATAAAACATAAAAATGCAAAAAGTCTTCCAGGGCTGGTTTGTACTGACTTGTCTGGGGTGCGGGGGCATGAAAATTTGGAATGTATCACGAGAACTGTACATACTTATTGTAAACGTCATTGACCTAACTGCTAGTCATCTAAGTAAAACAAAGTCAATCAAATTCATTCCATACTTAATTCGTACATTTTAAACATATCATATTATACGTCTGTGATCTATAATAAGTTAGTTCTAGAGTTAATAATAATTTACTTAGATGTAACATATTAATACTAACTAATAGCCTCTGATTCAAGCAAAGACACTCATTCACCAAAAGAAGGTACAATTACAAGTTGAGCTGTCCTAGATATTAGTACAACTGTGTTTTTCTTTCTCATTTGCCAAAGTCTCAAAAGTACACTTGTGGAAAACTAAAACAACGTGTGCACCATGGTCTGTAGATCTAGAGAAACTGGTCTATTTTAAAAATAGGACCTGCTATAAGGAAATGAAAGTGTTTTGCTATGTGCTTTTAAATTGTTCTTTCATCTTCGATTTATTTATTTATTTATTGATCTTAAAAACAGTTGGGTGGTACCTTCAGTCTCTGAAAGACTGATTTCCAAGGTAGCCCAACAGAACATACACATTGGACAACATGGAATACAATAAAATTAAACAAAATAAAACAGATTAATCAAATGATCAAACGTAGCATTAATGACAATAAATAGTATAAACAGAGGGTACAAATAATCAATCAAACAAACACAACGGAACAACCAAAACAAATAGTCAAAATCGCTAGGCATAGTCGTATTGTCAAATAATGACAGTCGGTTGTCCGTGAGGTCAGGGTCAGAGGTCGTATGGTCTTAGCGCTACTTTAAAAGCATTTATTGTTGATGCATGTTTAGTTACCGTGTTAAGCGAGTTATAGGCTGAAGCTGCTCTGTACTTAAATGTTCTCTGTCCAGTTCTGTTTGTGTATTTGGGTTTACGCAGTAGATTCGCTTGTCTTGTGTTGTACTGATGTGTTTGGTTGCTGTAGCTGAAACAGTGTAGCAGGTAATCAGGTGCAAGTCCATGTAGACACTTGTAGACCATTGTGCAGGTATGGTGGGTCCTCCTTTCCTCTAGTGGTCTCCAACCCAGTATCTGGTGTAGTTCGCTTACAGTGCATTCGAGCGCAGTTCCCTTCTCAGGATTATCCTGGCAGCCCTGTTCTGGAGGAGTTGAAGTTGCTGTTTGGAGGTAGCATTGCAACTATCCCAAACCACATCACAATATTCAAGAATGGGTAGAACTAGAGTTTTATACAACAGACATGGTGTCCATTGTAATTTCAGTAATTTTCAGCCATAAATCGTTAGATTTTTTAGGGTCTCAGAGGGGGTCCCAGAACTCCATAACGAAAAATACCTGGGGGGTTTAAACTATATGGCTGTTCATAGTTCTTCATACCTATCTCACATACAAAGTATGTAATAATACTATCTGTTTCATATACATATACATTGTATTGACCAACAGGACACATGTGATGTAGACAAGGAGGAAAAAAACACCAGTGTTAACCTGGAACATTACAGGGCTTTTGTTAGGTAAGACTACTGTATGAAGATTTGTTTGTAATGTGAGTTTTATCAGATTCTGAAGAAATGTTTCTGCTTCTTTTTATCCCCTTTACTTTACTTGCTAGCTAGGGAAGTCCAGACAGACAGTCTGTATCATTTTTGCCCCAAAGATTTTCCTTTTATTCCTTGTAATGAGATGATATTTTATCCGTTGACGTAGAATTTGTTATTCATTATATTTAAACTGTCACAATCAACCCGTACATCAATAAACAGCGAAATTCACTTTCAAAAATGTATAGTTTTCCAACAAATTTCATTAAGATCAATTTGAAGCCCTTGATTAAGTAAACTTACATTATGTAAGATGTCCATAACAGGATGCTTTCACAATGTTATTGTGTTATTGTTGTAGCCCCAGAGGATTAGAAGATGACAAATTTTTTGACGAGGGACATAACCTAACAATAAAACTACTGTGTAGCAAAATGGTTCATTGAACTAACATTTAGTCAGCTTCTCAGAATGTGGGAAATAGCATTCTAGGATCCCCTGGTACTAGAAGACCTGCCTGTGTTTGGTGTTCATACATAATTGCCTCTCACATACATGTGTTTGAAATACCCACTCCTGCACTCTCGGCAGGCTAGCTAGGTTGCCCAGCACTCAAGTTATCATTTGTTTTTGCCTATCTAAGGTTTGGATACAGCAGCTCGGCTAACGACTTCTGAAATAAATGGTGCCCCATCTCGGCCTTGCCCGGGTGCCCTGAGAAAAATTTGGAACTCTAGCCCTGTAGGACATTCTAGCAGAGACGTGATTAAAATTGAATTAGTTTGTGATAATTCACATTAGTACAAAGCTAACCTTCCATTATTTCCCAGGGAGTTCGACCTTGAGGTCTTCTCCATCCTGAAGTGTGGGATGGTGTCCAAGTCTGTTCTGGATACAGAGATGCACACAAAGGTACAGGACTCCCAACTTAATTTACTATGTATCATAATTATTAGATATTTTTTTGAAGGAAAGAGATGCAAAAAAAAGTGTTTAAATTGTTATCTCAAGTAGTAAAAGATGACAGACTGTCATTTAACACTGCAATATACACTTAGATTTACCTCATCATGATTTACCTGATCACAAAAAAATGGAAAAGAAGATTTCGAAATGTACTAGCCACTTACATGTATTATGTAGGATAGGAGTTGTGAAATAACATATGAATACTTCTAAAAATAATTTCATCAGGTTGGTAGGACATACATCTTAAAGGCATCCAATGCGATTTCAAGGCAGCAAAACTGGAAATATCCTGAGTATTATAAGACAATCATTTTGATATTGACACATACTGCTTCACATTAGCACATTTGAGCCTGGCCCTGCCAGTATTTTATACTTTGGGCATTTAAAACTGCAGAAACAAGCTCCAAGGCGAGTCCTTTATTTTCTGGGTGGTACCCTAAAAATCAGCCAAGGGCCCTTCCAGTAACCATTTTTCGTCAGGATTTTGGGGAATTTTTGCTCTGTGAGGGTTGATATACATAGTTAAAACTTATTACATATATGTAGATAAGTGACTAGAATATTGACTTGAAAATCGAGTTTCTATGTCCTAAAAACTGCACTGGATGCCTTTAAACTTTTGATACCTACATCAAGTATTCATGTCATATATCAGGATTTTCTTCTGCACAGCCAGGGCTTCTTACCTTGCCACCTTACACTAAGGTATCACTGTCCCTTATCCAGAAGAAAATCCCAATATAAATAATTATGACATGAATACTTGCTGCAAGTCTCAAAAGTTTAAGATGATCCTACTTAAAAACCATTAGTTTGTAGTTGAAGAGGTTCATCAGTCACGTAGAATTAACAGTTAGTAGAAATTCTTCAATCAGTGACTGTATTTTTAAGGTACATGTAAATCACGTACCTCCAAATTTTCGGTGTCGACTGTACACCTTGATCACGGAATGACCTAGTCTCGCGACACCTAGAATTATAGTGATCATCAAACTTGTCGAGTGCCATACTTTTATACATTTAAGATACATACTTGTATGTACATTAAAAATGAAATTACTGTTAGAAGGAGTGCCTAGTTATGCATTGCTGTTCCTTGCAGGAGACAACTGTGCTGGACCTGCAGCCCACAGAGCTACTGTTCCTTCTGAAGGACCTGAACCTCAAACTTGAACATGGTCTTATTGCAACAGCCAAACGCAAGACCTTCCTCAAGGTTTATTGAATTATAAATCATAATTAGGCAATTGACTACTGCTATGATAGACTGTGCAATTACTTTGTATTAGATTCGTTGTACAAAATGTTGATATATGTTCATGAAATTGTCTGACCCGGCCTGGGTTTGAATTCACGACCTGCTGGTTACAAAGCAATTACTCTACCTAAGCTATTGCACTGGTGACACACTAGAAAATACCTTTGTCTGAAAATAGATTTAAGATAATGACAAAATTTTGCTGATTTCCTTCTAAACAACCTTATCTCATGTGCATTCTTCTATATCATGAAGACCAAGAGTGAGCGGAACAATGGTTTCTCCCACCTGGACCTGTATACAGCTCAGGAGGTGGCAGAGCAGGTGGTGCAGCTGCTGCCAGCTCTGTGTGACCACCTGGAGTCCGTCTGCACATACTTCCAGGTAAGGAGAACTCATGCATGTGAACACACAAATTTACAATCATTAAATTCAAAGCTATTAACACGCACCATGTTTTCAGTTTGGAATCGATCCATTCTGGCTATATGCTAATGTAGTGTCTCATGACTTGTAGACCCTGCTGGAGGAGAATGATGGAGTCGTTGATGGGCCGCGGGGAGACCAGGCACAAACACAGCTCATGTCTGAGGTATTTTCCCAGCTGCTCCAGGCCCTGGCCAGGATCTTTTCATGGTGGGTTCACTCATTGGGTTCAGTTTTAGAAACTTCTACTTTGCTTTGACTACTGTTCTACATACAGAAGCATGTAATAAAAGAGATGGCATTTTCATTCTTTTTGACAATTCCTTTGAACATGTTTTGCCACCATATTGTAGGAATGGCTTTATTGGCTGTGATGGCCAGAAGCTTCATCAGCAGGCTGTGAGCACCCTGGCTGGCAGGATCAAAGCGTCTTCCACCACACAGACCTCCACCCAGGACATGATCAGCTACGCTTTCCGATATGTGGAAAACTTCCTCAGCACAGCTCCCAACCTCAGCACCACTGTCTGTCTCATTAGGCTGCTGGTCTCCATCTGTGACAAGGGCAGCCAACCAGAGCAGTTCAACTCCAAAATAGGTCTCTTCATTTCTTTCTACCTGACACAGACAGAGACATGCATGTGCAGAAAAGATAAAGACTACTACCTAAGTACATATAGAATACAACACGGTGTATTCCGTATCGCCCGAGGTACCAGCCCGACCGCGCGTCGGATCGCCCGAAGGCCGGAGGGAGATCCGATCCGCGGGAGGGCTGGGACCGAGGGTGATGCGGAATACACCGTGTTGTATTTTATTTATGTCCTACCCACCCAAGACAACGCGCCTTTCAATGCGAAATGAGCGAAAATTTGGTGTCCCTAAACCCCAAAAATGCAACATCATCAATTCCAACGTCCGAATTTTGTATTCGAATTTCGAAAACGGTGCACGCGGTTAGGCCGAAACGCGTTCAAATCGTTCCACGGAACATTTGGAAGCCACAGGCCGTACGCGTAAAGAACCCCCGGGCCGTACCGCTAGTTATCACACGGGCCGGAACACCCGTATCGAACATAATCGCGGCCCAGGTAGGACATAAAATAGTATACGTATTTAAGATGTCTGACTCTTAGTGGCAAAACTGTAAACTTCTCAGACTGGAGAAGGAGATGTGGCCCAATTTACACAGGGCAAACATCATATCTGTCATAGGAGATTCGACGTGCAGTGCGTGTGGTAGGACAGATTTTTTTATGCATGTAAAAAAGCCCACCACCATGCACCTGGCGCAGCGCGGCGATTTTCTTTTAGTGCATGATCCGGGAGGTGCTAAGAGTGCGTCACAGCCCAGCAGCATGTAAACAGACAGCCCATTTCCGCATCGCAGTATAGGTCAGGGGTTCTACAAATTTTTCATTCCCAGTGCTTGCTTCCAGCCCACACCACACTCTTCTATGCTTATAATCTGTATTGAGTATCCTGACATGTCAAGTTCTCCATTCTTTCTTTGGATTATTGTTTTTGATTGTTTGCTAAGGCCACACCAATTTGATTCCTTGGTTAACGGATTCGCCGCTTCATTTTTTCTGATTTGCAAATAAAAATAAAAATTCAGAATCAAGTGCAAAATGCTCATATTTTGCCCTGAACAGTTGAAAACAGTCCTTTTCTTACTACTTGTTACAGTCATTCCATCTTCCAATGCAGTGGTATCATTAAAAGTTCAAAATTCATTGTTTAAATTTTGAACCAGTCTGGTGTGTTGACTTCATGGCTCCTATCGTACCATTTTGGGCCATAATAGGATGCCTAGGCCTGTTTTTATTTTTTTTTCGCCCGCCCGCTCCATTATTTTTCTAGCAAAATCCGTTAACCAAGAAATTAAATTGGTGTGGCCTAAGCATGGCGGAAATAAACAGCAGTAGCTGGAATAGCACTGAAACACGATGTTTGATCGGGCTTTGGAATTGTCATATAGTAATCAGAACAAGATGGAAACTTCGAAACAAGTCCAGAAAAAGATTGGGAATTTTAGGTACTGCTACTGACGACTAGGGTTCACCATGTGTGACGCAGCATGCCAGGGCTGTGGCGCTTGTGTCCTTGTCATCATGTGTTTGCTGACATGATAGAAATTGCTTGTGCCTTGTTTCCTTCTGTAGCTGAACATACCCAGACCATTTTGAAGAGAGAGTGGATTGGAAAAGATGGACAGAGGGAGAAGGGGGCCAAGTGTAATGAGGATGTGCAGTTTGTTCTGAAGTAAGTTAATTGCAACAAACCTACACATGTATAGTATATAGTTGATACCTATAATAATCTTTAACTTTAAGGTACAAATAAAAGATACATTGTAGTTAAAAAATGGTTTAGGCCACCATTCCACCATGTTGTAACTGCTGTAACAGTCATTTTTAGAATTGTTCATCATAATTTCCTTGCATGATTGATCTTCGATTACTTACCACCTACAATTTAGGACCTTTCTTGACTTCTCGGAAGACAAGCTGTCGTGTATTGAGCACCTGGCGTCTGTAGGGATACCAGAACTGGTGGAGGCAGACAGAAACGGCTGCTCCAAAACCTACCCAACACTAACAAGGTACTCACCCTGGTCACAACAGTTCAATTTCTGCTCTGCTCTGCTCTGCTTTTTTGATGATTTGAAACAAAAAAGATCACATAAAACCTTGCACAGAGCATACATGTATACACAGTACATGTATATAGGAACAAGTAAAATATGAGATTTTATACCTTCGGGCTTTTTATTGTATATTCTTATATGCTGTTTGTTATGAATAGTTGATGGTGTTAAATTTTATGTGTTAGATTTCCAGGTTGTGTTAACACACTGGTCAACATTTTCATCTGCAACTTATACATGTAACATGTACCCATGAAATTATGAAATTCTATTTAATCTGCCTCAAGGAACTCGTTAAGCAACTCAGAATGACAACCAGAACCGTTAAATCTGACGTTAAAAATAACCGGTAATCAGTGATCGAAATATTTGTGGATACGCACCATGTGCCCGCGTTTTTCTTCCTCAGGAATGTATGTCGTAAGACATACGTTCTTAGTGTTATTATACATACTTAGTGTTATGCTTTTTCAACAGGCAATCCCTTGGAGTATTCTATCGTGCAATGATGAGCGAGCTTGTAGTGTGTATTAAGGACATCCCAACAGGGAAGGCCTCAGATGCTGCAAAGGTACCATGGCAAGATAATATGCTTTTAACACATCCATCCTCTTATAGATTATTTTCAAGTTCGGTCTTATTATTAAATTCAAAACCAAGAAGGCAGTGGTTCTGGTCAGGATGCCTGTCAGCAGTGCCACTGTCGGTTCCTATGTGCAGTTTCCTTCAGAGTTGACAGAGCAGGAGTAGGCCAACCACAGCATTATCTGCCATACATGGTCATTCATGTGGAAATGCACCAGAAAAATTGTTATGATAGTTTGCTTTGTATTGTACATCAATGTTGATAATTTGCACAGAAATTGATTGTGCTGTGTGCAATATCAACATCGATTGACCACAAACTGATGTTTTTTTTTTTTTTAACGGTGTCGCTCAATGCAAGGCCATTTTTGGCCACTTCTAGGCAACTGTAACAGCAACTCTTCTCCCTGAGTCAGATACATCGTGATTGAGACCAGCCCAATTTCTCACAATTAGTGAGGACTAACTGACCCAATAGGAGAAGCAGGGGTTACGAGGCTGGTCGGGAAAATTCCCTACCCCTTTTTAGACCATAATGGTTTGTTCCACTTCCGCTCACGTGGGTTCTTTAATGTGCTTGAGGTGTGTCTCTCCTCAAACACGGGACCTCCATTTTAACGTCCCATCCGATAAGACGCCCCTAACCGAAGCTAGGTACTCATTTTCACCTGAGTGAAGTGATGTGGCAAGCAATGCAATGTTAGGATTCAGTCATGCATGTGACCTGCAAAATAAAGGGTAACTTAAATGGTAAATGCTGCCACAAACCCTTGTCAAGAGTTGGTTCTGTTACAGCCTGCTTGAAAATTCCGTAGCATTGAAGCAACCTATAATGGATGTGACAGTGCCATAAACAAAATGACGCAATAAAATGTAATCTGTCGACCTAAATAAATGAAATAAATGACCTATACCACAGGTCAGTTACTACTATCTTCAACATCAATTGAACTCTTGAATTAATCACAATATAAAAACTGGTACTAGTATTGTAAAAACAGTATTTTAAAATTGGAATACATCAGAAATCTCTGATGGCAACTCTCATAAGTCAGTAGTGAAATAATTGAATGTTTACATACTTAGTTTTTTGCTTGTTTCTTTTGTCACCAGGTTCAAGTTGAAAGACTGTTCCGTTGGAGCATTGCTGTGAGGATTTTTCATATCCTGGTCAACTTGGTAAAGGTAGGCATGCACACACTGCCCCCGTTTCGGCATTGGATCATGGGGTGAGCAAGGCAGTGATGATCTTTAAATGGCACCTTATTAACCGTAAGATTAGAGCAGTCTCATTAGTTACATAGACTTAGGAGTCAGGACGGTTATCATGATAGTACAGATCCACAATGTACACCATCAGCGTGCAAAATACCTGGTTGCCCATGGCCAGTTGCCCCGGGTAACCAAATTTTACTTGGGGCAACCTATTTTTGGCGACGCCTTAGGGGCGGAGGCATTTGTGCAAGTACTACGATCGCTTTGAAAGAATTAAAAAATTGCACGAATGCATTCCCCAGGGAATTGCTTTTGAGCTATCCTTCGGCCATGTGGTCTAGACCGAGAAGTAAACCTTAGCTAAGGCCTTTGTTCCTTTTTGCACAGAGAATATCTGTTTCTTTTTTCAATAACATAGCCAGTTCCAGTTTTTAATAAGACTCCATAGTCACATTGGCATCTATGAATTACATGTCTTTTCCTCTAGACGATGTGACTGGCTTTACATGATTTAACAATAATTATACATTTCTGGTAATATCCCCCTGACCTACCAGCCAATTTCTGACATTGCAAAACATCACTGTCTTTAAGAAAATGAAGGGTGGTCATTGTTGTCATATTGTATATTATGTACATGTATACATGGTATCGGCAGTTAAAATGTGTTCCAGAAATATAGCTTTTATACAAAATGTTCATTGTATTTATTTCTCACTGACAGTCAATGATAACTCCATGCTATTTTTTTCATACATGCAGGCATTTGATGGGAGAGTCTATCTGTCAGCAGCTCAGAAGGTATAGATCTACTTACAAGTGATGCACAGTGTACATGGTGCCTTGCTAGTTTCTTAGCAATGTTCAGTCCACACTAGAGCTGTAAATAAATATTAGATACAAGTAGAGGCACACTCAGGCACAGTAACTGTCGGGTTTAGGTACTGGTGTGGAGTGAAATATATTTATTATTATATTAATTATTCCCACTGGCAGAATAGTTTTGAATACTCGTAGATATTGTATTGTGATCATGGTCATTGGATTGTAAAGTTTTACGGTGAGCTTTGTTTTTGGGAATTATGACCCTGATTATACCAGACTTTGAAAAAAATGACAAATTCATTAAGTTGATTCATTAGCAGGGATAAACCTGTTAACTTTAGCCTGTTGTTAATAAAAATCAACCGGTTCTTTAACCACCTGATCATGACAAAGAGGTTAGGTAGCCTACTAGGGGTTCACCTGCGGTGGCGAAAAATCTGGTGTGAATTCATCCAGTTATCAGGCGTCATACATTTGTACTACTGGGTTCACAGAATCAGCAGCCGGGCCTCATGCAACGTACCTCCATGCTCCAGCTCAAAACTGTTTAATTTTTGTGTCCTTGTTTGTTTGTTTCCACTATATATATCTTCAACTTGATGGAATCACCTGGTCGACAGATAAGGCTCCCTGCAGGTATCCCTTTTTGGATGCAGAGAAAGCTGGTGGTGGTGATGGGGTTGTCCGTAACGAAACCAGGAAATTTCAATGAAGTTGGAGGTGCAAGGTTTCTCCAAGACAACAGAGCAGTGCTGCAGTAAGATAAAGAACCTGAAGACGGCATAGACTAGAGGAAGTAACAGCAGGAATGGACTACAATAATGTTCAAATAGCCGGGTATTATTTCAGACAGGACTTTACTGAACCAGTGTGGAAAGGCTGGGTATATGAATGCAAGAGGCTTTAGCCTGGTTACCCCTGCTAATGAATTCAGCCAGTCTGGTATGAACGAGGTCTGTATGTCATAGGGAATTTCCTCATTGCAGTTTTATGATTCAGATTGTGGCTGTAACAGTTACTAATGATGCGTGTTGGCAGTAAAATCTTTCTGATTTTCTCAGTATGGCCGTATGTTTGTGGAGGTGTTCTTGCGACAGGGTATGCCAGTTCTTGATAACGTTTTCAAGACACACAAGGTACACCAATCAGAATATTTCCTTACACTACATGTAATTATATGAAGTGGATACATCTTTATATTTCTTTCATTCTTCTGCTTAAACTGACCTCTTGGTAGCTAAACTAGCTACGGGATAATCTGAGAAAGTTAAATAATACCCGGAACTGTCGTGTGTGTTTTTTCAATGATAAGACTGAGGCTTATGTATCTACTTTGTATTGTTTCAAGCATGCTCTGGTCGATAACCAGCAACTGAAAACAAATATAATGATTGAACAGGCAACATACAAATGTAGACAATCATCATTCTTATCCAGCTGCATGTGACCTGGGCATAGAAGTTTCGCATGTGGAAAGGTAGGATTCATCTTTTCCAATACTCACCTCCTTTACTGTAGGACGATGTCCATAGTCTGCTGAAGAACCTACAGCTCAGTACTCGGGCCATGCACCATATGTGTGGCTTCTCCAAGGTCAGCAAGGATGTGTCCCTGACCAACTATGTGCCACTGGTAAAAAAAACCCTTGAGATGTTTGTGTACCGGGTCAAGGCCATGCTGACCATGAACAAGTGCCTGGATGCATTTTGGCTGGGCAATTTGAAGAATAGGGACTTACAGGTATGACTTACATGTACTTGTAACATTATGTGTCACTATCTCATTTTCATAGCGCATCCACATGTGAATCCACATGTTGGCTGTAATATTTGTGAAAGCTAGTTATAGTTTAAAATCTTAATCAGCATGATGTCATCTAGCCATCCTACTGTAGTTACAGTATAGATATGTGCTGTATACTTATACATGTATATATGTGCTCACATTGATTTCATTTTCACACTTCCCCTAATGCACCATCTGGGAGGTCTTGTAGGATAACAACAGAATAACTATATTTCACTCCATAAGGCCACACCAATTTAATTCGTTGGTTCTCGAATTTGCCTTTCAAATTTCTGATTTGCAAAAAAAAAAGATTCTGGTTCTGCATCAACTGAAAAATTCTCATATTTTGCCCACAACAGTTGAGGAAGGTCCTTTTCTTCCTAGTTCCTACAGTTTTTCCATCTGTCAAAAAATGCATTGGTCGATTAAAAGTTCAAAATTCGTTGTTTGAATATTAGCCCAGCCTTTTGTATTGACTTCATGGCTCCTATCATAACATTTGGGGCAATAGCCTAGACCTATTTTTATTTTTTTTGCCCCGTTGCTTCCTATTTTTTATGAGAAAATCCGAGAACCAACAAATTAAATTGATGTGGCCTAAGAAGTACATGTATATTGTTTTTCCTCTCCTTCTGCCATAAAATTGATTACATTTTTGGTTTTGGGACAAAACATTTTGAGGTAGAGTGGGCAAACACCCTCTGACATTTTTTTTTGTGTGTGTGTGTGACACCATATTCTTTTGTATGGTGAGCAAGAGCCAATAATAGGCAAGAAGCTTCTCCTATACGTGTATGCATGTCTAGATTGGACAGTTTGTAGGTAGTGTTTTTTCTTGCTGACTGGCTGTTGAGATATTAGTAATTGACTGGCATAATTTTGAAGAAGCCCATATTTTGTATGGAAATGTTTTTGGACTGTACCATGATAACACAGCACATGAGGCCTCTGAGACAGTCAATTATTGAAATGGGGGGGGGGGGCACTCTGACACTCTGGCACTATAGTTACTGTTGTAGAATTACATGTAGAGTCAATTGAGAGGGTCCAGAAAAGGGGATGCAAGATAGTCCTTGGGCCACACCAATTTAATTTGTTGGTTCTCGGATTCGCCTCCTAATTTTTTTCTGATTTGCAAAAAAAAAAAAAATATTCTGGTTCTGAATCAACTGAAATATGCTCACATTTTGCTCCCAAAAGTTGAGGAAAGTCCTTGTCTTCCTAGTTAGTTCCAGTTCTGGATGAGCAGTTGTCTAGTACTGTTTTTCCATCTATCAATACATTGGTTTCATAAAAAGTTTAAAATTCCTTACATTTGTACTTGAATTAGCCAGTCTGGTATGTTGGCATCATGACTCCTATCATTATAAGCTTTTGGGGCTATCAGAGGATGTCTAGGTCTTTTTTTTTTCGCCCTGTCACTTCATATTTTTTCTGAAAAATCCGAGAACCAACAAATTACATTGATGTGGCCTTAGTTGGTCTTACACTAGCTATAACTCTCGGCTGGGGGTTTATGACCCCCATCCCTAGGGGTGCGGCCTCCACGAGTGTAATCTTATGTATTAGACCAGGGATTTAGCTATTTTTACAATTATAATACTTTGATACCAGTTGTAAAGTGCTCACACACTGTTTACATACACTGTACTGTTCCCAATCTGCAAAATATAAAACTTCATGGAGAATTGTCACCTATGGACACTTAAATTCAATTCTGGACTGGCGGTAAGATAACAATGAAAAATGTTTTTTATGTTTGCCGCCATGCAGGTGGCAAACGTTATTGTAGCGAGAGCAAAGCTTGGGTCGATGCATGGCCTTGCAGACATGCTGAGTCACCACATGTCGCTAGATGTCGTTGTTGCTTGAATTAAGTCATAGCGAAGTTTCAATGTTTCTCTATTATGTTTGAACTTTTACATTTGCCTGCTGCATTGTTCTTACTCAGGAATGTCAATACGTTTTATAGTTACTCTTTTTAAAGACGGGCTTTCATGCTTCAATCATTGCTTCATTTATCCTGCTCGGACTGCTATGTATAGTTTGTTGCATAGGCAGACAGGGATTGTGCAATCCAATAGCTCGAACGGCAGCGAGGCTGAATGGCAATGGCGGTGTCTGCACATAGCGAGTTCGATCCCCGATGTGGAACTTTCTTTTTCTTTTTAAGTCACTGTTTTGCTTTTTAACATTCAAAAACTATTATTTTGTTATTAGGCCATGTTGATTTGATTATATGGATGACATCCGCGCGCACATGAATTTTCGGCCGTTTCCAAAAAAAAAAAAAAAGTTTTCAACCATACTGTAAATCGTACAAAACAGTCGCAAAATGAGCAAAAATATACCATAAGTTACAAAAAAAATTAATAAAAACTATACCAATGTCGAAGAATGCCAAAATCAAACGAAAAAAGACGAAATTGTTAAGAAATGAACTAGATTATTCGCCAAACCATATTCTGTGCCATTTGCTCAACCCTCATGACCACGTAGATTTCATAATGAAAAGAACTTTTTTTTTTGCAAAACTTTTTTTTTATTCGCACGCGCGCATCAGTCAACATGGCCTTACTTGTTATTTTAACATTCAAAAACTAGTTGTTATTACTCATTGTTCTTTCCCTTATATGGGCAAGTGTTGCCATATGCATTCTTGGGGATTAACATAATAAAGTCATTCTCGCTATGGGTAATATATTACATGTAGCATGGTCATTGACGAGCTGTCAATATAAAAAACGATTGAAATCAATTGCTCCTTATATCACATACGAAATATTTGTATTTCAGATTTGATAGTTCAGAATTGTTCATTTTTAAGTGAGGAAAATAGATTCTTGTTATCTTTTCCTAAACTATCTACACGTAGTACATTGTACATGCCAATAGTGACAATCCCCATGACCTTGTGTATGTAGTATAACATAGCTAGATTTCAATCAAGGGTATTATCATCACTTTATTTAAAGAAAAAAAAACACATTGCATACGATTTTGTTGTGCAAAAACACAACAGCGGCAAATGACAGCTTTTCATAAGCACTTGTTTTGGGGGGGTGTTGCTGGAAGAGTTGATTCTTAAATAGAGAATCTTTTTAGGTGGGGTGAAATTGGGAAGGCTCCATTTCAGACTGGGATAAGTTAGCAATACTGTTGCATAGTCCGAGTCTTTTGTCTTTCTGTTGATCTGGTCCTTCCACCGCTTTAATTTGGGGATCTTCCCCAGGGTCTAGGAAACTGCTTGTAACTGAAACTGCTGGGAAACCATCATTGCCTGTAAACCTTCTTCTTCACATGTACTACAAGCAGGAAAGACATTTTGGTGAATTGCTGTCTGTTCCAGGGTGAAGAGATCAGTTCCCAGGCCTACGCTGACCCGACTGGCAGGCAGTCAGATGACGACACTGACAACGATGCCACAGAACTGCCAGATGATGATGATGATGATGATAGTGACACTACGGTGAGCCTACCTGTATCTGTTTACAGTACTAGTGACCTTAGAGTCAAACTTACACCTTTCAAAACTCAGGTTGTGAAATTGTATCCTGTTCAAATGGACAGCAATGATGCTCACAAGCTTTGGACTATTTTTCTCCATCACTGTCAATAGTGGAGCTGAACATAAAATGAAACATGAACATGAGAAGCATACCATACTAATATGCTAGATATATTCTCACCAAAGTCAAGTTCTCACATGTTTGAAACTTGCACGGTTGGAAACCATGCTTGCCTAACCTTTGTGATGTACAGCTATACTGTGGTGGTTATAGGAAATGATCAAGTCTTATAACACCATGTTCTTCTCAGGATGGGACATTAACCCCTAATTAAAACACATTTACTGTAGTACATGTACATGGAGGAAAAATGTCACCCCAATGTCATTTTTGTTAATTTGCCAAACAATCTGCCCGCTGCCCGTGTCCCTCCCCCTTCCGGTCAGTCCCCTCTCACTTCCGCCCACCACGGCCCGGACACATGTGCTCCCGCCGTCACCCCTGACACTTGGACAGAGCTAGGCGAGGACGCACACGTGGCCTCGCTCCCCCCTCTATTCTCAACCCACCACCGCCCCCTACTCCTGCCACGGTTTTAAATAGAGACGTTTATCAGTTCCGTTTTCTGCGTTACGAAATTTCTACATATCATTGTCTGTATATTTATGTCTAGATGCTGTATTGGTTGGCATGTTTTGGACGGGAAAGTCCGTGAATAAATTTCCCCGCTCTTGGCCAAACTCGCCTCCGTCTTCACTTGTTTTCAGAGCTAATTTACCTAGATATGACTCAGTGCTTATATAATAGTACAGACATGCAAAAGTCCTAAGAGTTTTTGTCTAACATGAGGCAAGTGTAGTGTCCCCACATCATTATCATCTTCATGAGTTTAAAACAGTGGCAAAAAGTTGATAGTTTGATGTAAAACAGATGAGAACTTGACTTTATGTAGCAAATCATACAGTTTTAGGTTTACACATGTAGTTCTCCTTTCATGAAGGGCCAGTTCCATGTTTATGATCAGCCATCTGTTCAGTACTCCATAAAAAAATAACTGTTGAATTTTGTCTAGGACAGATATATGTAAAGGCTTCTGTTTAATTTTTTTTTTTTTTTTACTAGAACCTGGAGGAAGAGAGCGTGTGCAGCAATGACCAGGATGACAGTGTGGGTGGAGAATCTTATAGTGAGAGCTACTAACAAGCTCCTCTCCATGAGGCCAATTAGTACTGGTAGTGCAGACCACACTAGGAGCGTGAGATGTTCCTACATAACTACTTTCTGCAGTTGGACCTTATAGTGTTATCGTTTTTTTATTCATTTCAAAAGAAAACACATACACTGAACCATTCTATAAACAATAGTAATTCAAATCATTATGCTGATAATGAAAAAGTACATATGTATCAAGAACATAAAGTACCCCATTTGCCCCAATGCTTCTGCAGATTTCCCCTTGTAGGTGTATGAGACAAAAAGTGATGTTGCTGATGGAAAATAGTTGCTTGTTTCATATCGTAGGCTAGCTATAGTTATGGTCAGTACCAAAAAAACACTCAGACGCCTCTGACAGGTAGCTTATGCTGGGATGATTTCAAATGCTTGAAGCACAAAATGATGACAAAAATGTGCAAAGAAATGGCAGTAAATGTTAATATTACTTATTAGGCATGTTTCCTCATCTACAATATTATTCATTTTGCCATCCTGAAATTGCATTGGATGCCTTTAAGACCACGTTCATACCAGACTTTAAAAACCAGTTGAAATCGCTAAATAATTAACGGGAAACCGGGCTAAAACCTCTAGCATTCATACCAGACTTTACATTGCCAGTTTTGTAAAGATCTTATGAATAACTGCTCAATCGGTCATCATTGCAGTTTGTATAAAAACTGCTCTTCCGATTGTTGTCCTTGGCCTTCTTGTAAGCTGTCTTCAGGTTCTTTACCTTACCAGGACACTGATCCGTTGTCTTCGAAAAACCCTTCAGACCAGGCGAACCCCTCAAAAACCCTTACCAAACCTCCTCCCGTGGTGGTTTTGGAAAATCTGATAACACCTACTTGAGAAAATGAGTTTCTTATAAGGCCACACCAATTTAATTGTTTGTTCTTGGATTCACCTCTTCATTTAAAAAAGATTCTGGTTCTGAATCAAGTAAACAATGCTCACATTTTGACCCCAACAGTTTAGGAAAGTCCTTTTCTTCCAAGTTGTCACAAGTTGTTACAGTTTTTTTCCATCTATCAATGCAGTGGTTTGATCAAAAGTTCAAAACTTGTTTAAATATTAACCCAGCCTTTTTGTTGACTTCATAGCTCCTAAGCCTAAGAAAAAAAAATTGTGTTCCCTGTTGCAGTCCTAAAAAAACAGGGTTGGTAGGAAACACAACCTTTTTTTTGCTAGGCCCTATCGTAGCATTTGGGGCCTAGACCTGTTTTTTTTCACCCTGTTGCTTAATTTTTAAAAAAATCTGTGAACCAACAAATTAAATTGGTGCGGCCTAACATTGATTTGTACTTACTTACTTACTTACTTACTACTGTAGTTTCTTATAAAAGGCCTATTCAAAATGGCTTCTGAGGAATGTATTATTTGTAGACAGGATCACTGGACATAAAATACATTGCAAGCCTTTTGTTTTAACATCTTGTAAAGAAATATTGTTAATTGAAATCATTGAAACAAACATTTTTGTCTCTCTTTGTAGATTACAGGCTTGGATCAAAGCTTTGTCACAGTAATGTTTTTTTTTTATTGTTCTTTGTTTTCATCTTAGTCACTTAACTGGTACTTGTCAATAAATTGCTTGTAACTCAGCAATGAAACACTCATTCTTGAGTTTTTTTATTTTTGAATTACTTTGGTTTTAGATAAAACAAAAAACTCTGAGATTCCACACCTCTGGGAAGTAAATGGCACATGATAATCAAATGATTGCTGTAAATTTCAGATTATGCAGTAATGCTACAAAAAATGGGTGATGTCACAACCATTATACACAACTAGAGGTCGGAGATCTCATGTCTTCGTAAGAGGTACATTGTTCTAGAGAAATGAACATGTGTATTCTCTTTTTAATAATCAATTTGGTCTAAAGTACAAAAGAATCGTTTTTATGCTACAGAACACCCTCACCACAGATTTTACAGACGCGCCGTCACTCATGTTAGCCCCCCCGACACGACGAGTGTCACGACAGTGTCGCAAAATATAGTAAGAGAAGATGTGATAAAGGAAAGAATCAGAACGGGGCGACTACTGCTGTTTTGTTCATTTATCTTGGACAGCTAACAGCTGTTCTGCTTGTATCGCCCAATACACATCACCCATGAATATGGTGGAAACAGCTGTCCCTCCCTGATATATTGCCATAAGGTCGTTGACCTACATAAAAGACAGATCCAACACAACCACACAGCTGTCCCAACCCAGATCAATGGCCATAAGGTCGTTGACCTACATACAAGACAACACCAGAACAACAAAAAAAAACAATATAACTTCTTTTCCACATTCCTATAAAGCAAACGATTTCAAACTTACACCACTATATTTATATTACTATACCTATACACCATACAAAAATCTAGACTTATGCCACATCGGAACTTGAACTACAAACAAACACAAAAGGTCTATTCCCTACGACTCTCATCTTTGAACTTAATCATGGTGTCCACCACAGTAACATGCCGACCAAATTTCATTAACTTCCATCCACATATACACACGTTATCCTGCTCACAAGAAAATTAAGAAAATGCCCTCTGCAGTGACAACGAAACCCCCCACAAAGCCCATTAAAAAAACTTAACCTTGGTCCCGACAATAGTACTAGTAACCTGCCTACCAAAAATTATAAGCAACATTTTACAAATACTTGACTTTGCTCACAAACACAAAAGGTGCACTAACGTGATGCACGGACCCCCCACGAAGCCGAAACTTGTACTTGACTTGTACTGAAACTTGTACGGCCTCAACAACGGTAATCTGTCTGCCAAAAATCATGGACGTCGAATCATGCCAGAGTTATATCGCAAAATCCACAGTCGCCCACAATGCGGCAAGACAATTTCATAGTCTTTCTGACGAAGACAATAACCTCCCTTGAAAGTAGTGTGGTATAGTCCACAGTGCCCACAGGCCTGTATACAGACCAGTATCTCAGTTTTGATTCGTATCATCCTTTGGAACAGAAACTTGGTGTTATAAGAACTTTGTTTAACAGGGCAGACACTATCATCACTTCGGGAGAAGCGAAAACTAAATATTCTGGAATACTAAGGAGATGCCAACTAAGGAATACTGTAAGTCTACAAATTTCCGCGGTATATTTAGATTCGCGGCATTCGCGGGGACCTTCGTACCGCGAATCTATTTCCCCGCGAATATGTTTTGCGTAAGTGCGCCCCCCTCCCCATATGCATTCACGACGGTAAGTGAAACACAAACACACGCGATTCACAAATCACTGCAAATCAACTTTATTCTTAGCAAATGTTGAGTACCAAATTTTTTTTAAGTTATACTGATGTCAAAAAATTATAATATTATGAGACACCGAATCGCGATACTGCGGCACTGGCCGTGTCAACCGTGTACCGCCGAAAAAAATCTATGCGTGCAGAGCGCCGGCCATGCGCGCCCGGGCGCTTGAAAATTGCGGGAACATCGGGCATATCTACAAGTATTTTTATGAAAAATATAACGGCTGGTACCTGGGAAATGTTAGTTGGTTCTCTTTTGCGCCCTGCTTTGCGGGCGTTTTTGTCTTCTTCTTGTTTTGCTGGATAGAAACGCTCACCGTGGGCCTACAAAACCGAAGGCGACCTTTGCATACTTCCGGGTTCAAAATCTCGCCGAAGACGGCATAAATTTGCTTAGTAATATATATATTCTTTCGATTATATATTTCTTCACTAGAGTATCGATGTGTAGTCGTGGAAAATAGCATTTTAGCGCTTATTTCCGAACAAAGAAAATTGTTTACACGTGCGTCAGATCGATCGTCAGCTTTACCGCCGGCAGTCTCGCGCGGTGCACGAAACAAATTTTTGCGCCGCGTTTTAGGAGATAAATGCCGGAACTTTTATTATTTTAAATATACACTTTACAAATTTTTCTTTGAAAAATACCCAAGGAGAAATCGCGAATCTAAAAATACCGCGGATTGTCCATTTTCCCGAAACCGCGAACTTTAGGCCCCGCGAATCTAAAGAGACTTACAGTAGTTTGGGGAATGGATCTCTTCAATATTCTGGAATAGTTTCGGGGAATATATCTTCAATATATAGTTTATTGGAGAGATCCATTCCCCAAAATTATTCCAAAATATTGAAGAGATCCATTCATTTGATACATAAATAGAAATTGTCAAAATTACCCAATTGTTTACAATGTGTGGCAATCCTCATTTATTGCCATAAAACTTGGAAAACAAGGAGGGACACTTTCCAACTGTTTGTACCAAAATATCTTAGGATATCTGCTCAGGATGGTACAAAACTCATCTTTTTCTCAAACCTTTTCTTCCTTTGTATTTAAGTGTGGGCCAATCTAAAATCAAATTTTTGTGGCCCTATCAAACTTCCTTAGGCTCAAGAAGTTATGTTGTACACATTTGCAGAGATATCGTGTAACATATGATTAGAATCACAATAGATACATCACGAAGTATGCACATCCCTGCTTTTTATGTAAACTAAAATTAACTGCAACACAATAAATACAAAGGCTGGATGTGTACCGTTGCTTTTATTAACATATCAACTGACATACTGATGGGAAGTGCCAGAGACGTGCTTCATGGTCAGGACATGACATCTAAGATCTTTGAGCCTTCCTCTGGGCAGCGATGACATTCTGCATCTCCTCACGCTTTCTCTTGGCACGCTGCAGAGTTCCGACCTGACAAGACAACAGAAATGTAGTGAGCCTCTCACTGGAGATTCACTTTGTCAGAAATTAATCTAGATCAATTTCTGGTAACATGTCCATTTGCCTCTTCACAGTGGAGGCAATGAATGATTAATTTCGTTTGCAAGAATGACAAGTTCACGGTATGTAAATGACAGTGAAAAACATTAACATGTTCTGTGAAAAAATCAGCAATTACAATTCACCATTAACATCAATGTAATAACTATACTTCCCTTGCTGGAGTCATTAAGTCATGGGTAAGCAATGATGCACTTCTACAGCATTAATTTTGCTGAAGGTACTAAATAACCCATCCTGAGGACTAGTGTTCTAGAAGTACATGTTGCAGTACAGACTTTGAATTTTTGCCACAAAGTGTCTTGTTGCAAGATGATAATTTATGCAAATTTTTATGACGTCATGATAACACCATCAGTAGTTATGAGACCACGCCCATTTTTAGAAAAATAGCATTTTCAAGCTAGCATTTTCAAGTTAGTGCTTCAGTAAAAACTCTATTTTTCAGAAATGTGCACAACAATCATAGTAAAAAGTTTACATTTGGATTTTTTCATATTCCTGATTTTTTTTTTTTTGAGAACCTTCAGTGTACCCCATGCCACTAGTCCCTACAGATTCAAATTTCACCACATTGTTTCGGCAAAACGTAAATATTTAGCTGTCTAATGTGTTGTCTTCACATATGACCCTTTTTGCCATATTCCATGAGTACTTTTATAGTGGAATCATTTTGAAAATCATATTATCTATACTAGGGGTAACGTATCTTCCTTGTAGGGGCCATAAAAACACCGAAATCGCCAATTTTTTGTCGCCATTCCAAGGGCGCCCATCCCTCCCATCGAAAAACGGGTCATTGACCCATCAGCACGCTGTATATTTAGCGTTTTTAGCGATTTGCAAAAATAGGGGGGTACGTCCAGTAAATAGAACAGCCCAAACAGCGTGCACACAAGCTGGGACGTGACTCCCAAGCTGGATTAAAAATGGTGGAGGCTCGTCTCCGACACGTTCAATGCTTTTCACTTTCGAGTGAGATCAGGTCTGGAAGAAGGGATTTTAGGGCTATTCATCTTGTTAAAAAAACAAGGCGAAGTCTTCAGGATTATTTTGAGACCTTTTTGAGAATTCTACCCAGGTTTTCTGGAGTTGCCGACTCATTTTTGGTGCTGGATGCTCTTGGCATGGAAAATAGCCTGTGCATGGCTCTATGATCGACAAGAATTTGCCAAGTCGCCAGATAGATAGCCACAAAGAAAAAAATGAATGGACGTGGTATGGGATATTTAGTGAATCGGTGAATGTTAGGTAAATAACGATTGCCAGAACTTGGACAGAGAAGTAGCAAATAATGTACAGTAAGTTCTTTGGTCAGATCGATCCGAGTTCGTAGACACAAATTTACATTCATTAGAAATAAAAATTAACTTGTATTTTCCCTTCCATATTTGTCAAGTTGTAGCCATGTCAAGTTGTAAGCTATGGCCGATGTCGCTAGTCACCATCCAAACAAGATAGCCTGATTGGCCCAGCTGCCTCTTGTCCTCCCATGGGACCACCTGGGGTCCCCCATGAGGCGGAGTAGGCCCTTCTTACTAATGCCTGTACCCCACTCGGGTTAAAATCGTCAACTTTACAGTTCAATTTAGGCCCCAAAATGTGACACTGATGAAAAAATTATTACAGATCATAAAAATAGACCTACAAGTCAACATGTCAGTGTGCAGATGTCTGGGCCAAAATAAATCGTCAACATATGCCTCAGGATCCACAATAAAGACTCACCCTTTTCTTCAGGAACTTCAGTGCCCGCTTGTCCTTGCTGACCTTCAGCAACTCCATGGTACGTCTTTCATAAGGAGCAAAGCCGGTCACTTCTCGCACCAGGTCACGAACAAACTTCACGTGCTTTGTCAGTTTCTGCAGTAAAAAGGGGTTTAAACATTGTTTGAAATTCTTCAAGACCAGTCTGCCTAAACAATGTACAATGCCTGGGAAAAAATGTTGTTTCCTGACAAAACTGCCAACTGTAGCCATTTGTTTGTATGTGTTTTTGTTTGTGTGTGTGTGTGTGGCCGTGTGTGTGTGTGTGTGTGTGTGACCCCTGCAAGGGGCACAAATTTTTTTTTAGCTTCACTTTTTTGTACACAAGGATTTTGCCGGTGTTCTGCCCACCGCACTGGTGCACCCAAAGAAAAAAATTTGGTGCACAACTCCTAATTTGGGTGATTTGGGTAATTTAACACTTTTTCCTAGGCCTTACAATTGTGGGAATTCCCTAACAACAATCAGAGCCCTCTAATAGACAAAACACAGCAGGGCAGACACACACATGTTGGCAAAAATACAACACTTACAGTAAAACTTTATTCAGTTACCTTCAACCCCACAAATTTCCAGTACCTCAAAAGTCATTCTTACCCCTTTCCTGCGAGATGGCCGAGGTTTCTGCACATTTTTGGTGATCTTGTGGCCCTTGTTGAGGCCAACGCACATGTCGTATCTGATCCCCATGGCTGCAAAACAAACGGATGATGACATTTTAACATAACCTTGTTGGCCACAATAATTTACTAAGTATGTGGTCTACTAACTTAGAAATTAGTATTTTATGCTGGACCCTAAAAAAGTCACAGGCCAACAAAACAACACCAGCCACATATTTAGGGACTACCAACCCATGAAATTTGGGCCCCGTTCATTATTGGATATCTGTTGCGAATCAATTCGATTTAAAAAAATAAATCGATCCATTTGGGAACATGAACGCTCCAAACCGGTTCCGTTGCGATTTATTTTGAACCACCTCGCGAGGTGGTCTGAAACAATACATATCGATTCGCGTTCGTAGAATTGTAATCATGAACGCGCGGATGCGAATCGTTTCGGTTCCGAACGCTGTACACCCGGGTACGTGGGGCAGGGGCTTGTACTGCGGAAAATTCTACTTGAATTGTACAATCTTGACATCGAGTTCTAATAACTGGTCGACTGAGGAAACGGGAGTTCCGATATTGACTTGGGGAAATCAGGAGATCCAGAGGAAATTGGATGGTGTGCATTAGAACCTACCCTGGGCGTGAGGGCGAGTGGTAGCCCAACAGGGGCGTTGGGGTGGCGGACCATGGGGGTTTGCACCAGATGCGTCCGGGGCACAGCCTATGGGGAGGACATGAGTCGGGAACGAGCGACTACTCGCCCAGACAAGCGTATAAACTCTCCGCCTCAGTACAAGCCAGGTTCCCAGGAAATGTTCAAAGAAATTGTGATATACATATGAAATGCAAGTCAATTCGAGGTGTGAAACCGTTTCCAGTGTAGGTGCAAGTTTTGAATCACGGACGCAAAAATATATTTCGATTCGATTCGGATCGTGGCCAAACCGGAACACATTTCAATCATGAACGAGGCCTAACAATCTTAGGCAAAAACAGAAGCCAAATCATGGTCTGACATGCTTTTTTAATTTAAACCATGGTCTGACATATGTTGTTCGTGATCTTATTTGTGAATCTACTTATCATGACACATTTGGCTCTAAAGTTAGGCAGTAACCAAGCTATAACAGACACAAGAAGACAATGAAAACACACATTGCCATGGAGACTGTGGTTGTTGCTAGGGTTATTGTTTGCATGGCACTGTCATGATTTTGTTAAAAGTAACATTTGAGATCGCAAGTCTCTGGGAAACCTGCCCTGTACTTTCTGTGAGCCCCGGGGCTCGTTCACTATACACTCATGGGAGGGGAGGGTAGGATTAGGAGTGATCTACTGAACTGCATTGTATCTGTCTAGACTTATAACAAGTAACAAGGTATAAATACTCTCCTGTTGTTATTATGAAATACCATGTCATCACGCATCAGCAGTATACGAATAAACATTGATAGTCATCAGCTTCATTGCATCTGAACACTGGTAACTGTATATTATTATAAATTTGAATATCCCATGCGCACTGCCGCGCAGGGGGCTTTCTGAACAGGGGAATAGGGGCGCAGGGCCCTCATGTAACAAACCAGCGCCCTCATATCTTCAGATTGATCAATTTTCAGATTGATCAATTTTCAGATTGATGCCAGCACCCTCATATCAACTTTTAGATTCCATCCAAAGTCTTTTTCAAAATTATCTTTTTCCAGTAAATACAAAAACACCACCACATAACAATGTATTCTAGCATTACAAACTATGTTACTCTCATAAAAATTCCAAAATCTTACCACAAACATGAAAATTTAGCTCTAGTGGTATAAGTTTGAATGTTCATGGAGAACTTGGTCAAAGACATGTAGCTGCAGCCCTCCAGACTGCGACCGTTTTGGTCGCATATGCGACCAAAAATTACGAAATGCGACTAAACTTTTTACTCTTGTCGCACACTGCGCGACCGGCAGAGAATCCGCTGTGCGCCTACTCTCATCTGCCGACTAAACGTACCGGTACGTTTTTTTTTTTCTGGCCCGAACATCCACCCGGTACATTCTTATTTTGCACGGTACGTTTATTAATTTTTTGAAAATCAGTAATTTTTTCCGACCAGATTTGCGCGACCAGATTTTTTGTTTGCACGCCAAAATGTTTGCCTGCGCGCCTAACTTTTGAGGCTAGGAGCGCATGCGCTCCTATGCTAAAAATTTAGTCTGGAGGGTCAGGGCTCGTGACTGCGACTGATTTGGTCGCATATGCGCCCAAAATTTTGACGGTGCGACTTCATTTGAAATCACGGTCGCACGGTGCGCCAATAAAAATTTTAGCCTATTCATTCCATTGTCGGCACAATCTTGTGAATTGACGATGAATTGTCGATCTCGCCATGACGCCGCAAAGAAAACGTTGTCATTGGTAGAAAATCTGACACCCCACTGGCGTTTCACAGCAAAATTTTCATGTGAACAACTCCGAATGTCTTTGTTTACATCGTGAAAGCTCACCGATACTCCCGCCGGCCGCCCGCACCCGAACGCATGGTCGCGGCATGACGCTAGTTTTCGGCAGCTCGGCGGAAAAATAATCCATCCCCAGAAGAAATGTTACGCATGAAAATAACAACTACAACTTGCTTTCCTCGTTATATGAGTTTTTGAGGCCGTAAAATGTTTAAAACCGTTGAAATTTGCTCGAAAAAACGGCTCGAAAATCTACGGCGAGACTGACAAAATGGCCGACGGTGTTTCACAATAACAGTGGTCAAAGGTCAAGATAGCATCCAAATGTACAAGATACATGTACTAAGTACATATTACAAGGTGCTAAAATGAAACTTTAAACGCATGAAAAAATGTTTTTTTCGGCTACAACTGAATTAAAAATTCACTTATATTTTTATAAGGCCACACCAATTTAATTTGTTGGTTCTCGGATTTTTCATGAAAAATGTGAAGCGACAGGGGCGAAAAAAAAAACATGCCCAAATGGTAAAGCTAAGGCTGGAAAAAGGGATTGAGAACAAAGCTATGTCTATACATGCTAAAACATTGCTGTTTTATAGCCTATGTATCAAGGATCAATTATTGATGTTAATGATCTGCCGAATAAACATACCCCCCGGAATAAACGTACCCCCCGGACAAATTTTCAAAATCCAATAAAAATACCCCCCGGAATAAATTTACCCCCCGGAAAATTACCAAAATTGATGGGTAACCTGTGTCTCTTATGCTAAAATGTGCTCTTACTGGTATACTAGAAACTGTTATGCACAAATCTTTAACTGTTATTTGCAATTAGGAATTTAAATAGACAACAAAGAGAGCATTTCTAGTACAAATGTAGACATGTCATGTTGTTGGGAAATACATACAGTCAAACCTGTAATAACGACCACCCCTGTATAGAGACCACTCGTCCATTAGTAGCATTACGACCACTTTTTGTTTGTCCCTTGAATTTTTCCCATCGACTCAAGCGTTAAGAAATCTTGCATTGCGTCTACCTGTCTAACGCGTCCAGCGTCCACATGTTTTCGGTCCCGAGACGGCCAAAATACCAATCCCACCGTCTGAGTCCAGCCGTGAGTACGTTGCCAAATGTTGGCCAAGAAAATCCAACGGGTACCGGGTAATAAAGAATATGGGCATGATGTGGCAGCATTTTTTTTTTGCTAGCGTTCGTATCATAAAAGTAAACAAATTTCGAAGTGCCGATTACTCAAAAATGGCCCCTAAAAATCCCAGCGAACCATCCCAGCATGTCCTAACTTGGCGTCGATTACGACAACTTTTCTTTTGGGAAAAATCCACTAAAATTAGAAAATAATGCTTCTCTAGCGACCAGATAGGGCTCCAGATATTTTCTGGGCGATATTAGCCGGGATTTTGTCGTAAAAATGAGCCAAAACTGGTGGTAGAAGAAAGCCGAGAAATATCCAACATGGCGTCGCTGCTTGCATGAACGAGAGGTCATTTGGGGTTAACGGAAGGTCTCATTTTTTACGGGGAAGGCTGTGTAATATTTTACCCGATTTCTTGATTTTATTGCGGTAAATCGACATCGACAAATACAATATGGTAGCTAAAAATCTTAAATATTAAATGACTTGCTTAGTTTGTTAGAATTTGTTCTAATTTAGAGCTTTGAGGAGTTCGTCTTTTGATGAGCACCACCCATGACAATGGAACATTCAGACAAATTTATGCACGCCGCGATCGCGAAAACCGGCCGGAAAATGACAAGTTTCTCGCTACAATACGCGTTTATAAACGTCTTCACGTCGAAGATTTGCCGATTTTTTTCACGCGTAGTCGAAAAAAATTACTGATGTTAATAAACGTACCGTGCAAAATAAGAACGTACCGGGTGGACGTTCGGGACCAAAAAAATCGGCAGATGAGATGAGAGTAACAAGAATTAATTCTTTTTTTTTTTCATTTTGCGATTTTTTGAAGCGGCGATTCCGAGAACCAACAAATTAAATTGGTGTGGCCTAAGGTTAATTTTCAAACATTACTGAGAAATTTTCCGAATTTATTGGTTTCTTGTGTTAGTGCGGTTGGATGCTGTGATTGTGAAGTCCCTAATACATTGGGAGAATCAGATGAGATATTAGAGATTATCATGCTTAGTACCGCGACCCGAGTGTCTCTCAAAAATTGTTTTTGAGTGGAGTTTATAGACATGATCACATTTTTATTTGTTCAGCTGTGTCAATATGTGATTTGTTTGGGAAATAGGATTTGGTTTAGGTTTTAATATATCAATGTCAGGTACACCTTTGGGAATAATTGCTCCAAGTTCCAGGTAGTAAATACATGTACATTTTGTATCATGTATTTTTCACTTGTTGAACTTGTGGAAGCACCGTTGGCCCCCGGTTAGGAGTCATCCGGGGAACCTATGCCCAATTTTTTCAAAATTAAGGATGCTGATAGAATTTTTTTTAAGGAAATATGATCTAGCTTAGTTTTTAATATATTAACACCTTTGCAATACAATATTTTTTGTTGGTGCGCCTAGATTTTAGCCTGTGCTCCTAACTTTTTATGGTTAGGAGCACAGTGCTCCTAGGTCAAAAA